GAAGGGCCTCCAAAAGGTGTTTTTCTCTTCTTTTCTGGATGGGAAGGACTTCTCTCCCCAAACCCAGAATCACCGCCCTTGCGCGCACGCGTGCGGGGGGTCTCCTTGGTCCCGTATGTCGGATCCAAGTTGCCAGACATGATCTTAAACAGAAGTAACATAGAGTTTTATATGGCCATAGCCATGGACAGAGGAAGGATAGAGAGAGAGAGAGAGAGAGAGAGAGAGAGGGAGAGGGAGTGAGGGAGGGAGGGAGGGAGAGGGAGGGAGGGAGGGAGGGAGGGAGTGAGTAGATCCTGAGCGAAACACTGGGCTGGAAGAATAATTGTCTAGGCATTAACAGCTGGGATACAATATATACAGTACTCTTGATCTGCGCTGTCGGATTGACTTAGTAAGTCAATGCATGAAACCAGCAGGAAATTTTAATGCTAAAGCAGCAGGGAGTTCCTGACCAATTCTATTTCTTCAGGGACCTTGGACCTATCCTGCCCTCAGGTTGGGGAGCGGAGAGGAGGAGTACAAGTGCCTCAACTGCCGTTGGTTGAGGGAGCCACCACTGGAAAAGAGCCACCGCGCGAGGGGAACACCGCCGGACCCCGCTGAAGCACCGAATCACTGTGCCACCGCCATGGTTGTGCTTCTCGAAGCGACTGCAGGCAGTTGAGGGTCATGGTTTTTCTATTCACCAGTTCTTGCGACCAGTTCTTGGGACAGATTCGCACCACTTTTCAAGCGACGGTTTGCCTTAACGCGGCTGTGACAGTATCTGGATACGCTTTAGACACCGTGCCGCCCATTCTCTTCGGCCCCACTGACCCCCCACGGCCGAGGCGAGACTTCGCGGAGTTCGACATCAACAAGGCGAGGGCCCCCGAAGCCCCGCCCTTTTCGCGCGCGCGGGGACGGCGGTCAACGGTCAACGACCTGGCTACTGCGCGACCGCGTCGACGGTGTTTCGAGTGACGGGTGGTTGGGGTGAGATCTTCGCATCTGTTTGGGTTCACCAGGTAGATCTCTGGGTTTGGACCGGCGTTTGCCAACCCCTTCGACCCCTTCGATGCGACCGCGCTGGGCGGAGGATTTGCGCCCCTGGACTGCTCTCGTCGTCGGTGCGTCGACGGACACCGACCTCTGCGTCGACGGGAGGACGACGGGGAGGTTCGGTCTCTCCGTTTGGCGAACGGCGAGGGTTCGACATGTTCGCCACCTCCAAACGGTGCGGCGTTGGACACCTCCGAACGGTGCGGTGCGGTGAGGATAACCAGATCGACTTCCAGGAGTTCCGGATCCACTTGCGTGGCGAGCTGGATGAGATCCACCTCCGGCGCATGCTCACGGACCCCGCCCGAGTGGTGAGGTTTTCGACATGAAGCCTTGCTCACACAAACCGCCTGCTCCCGGCCTTCCTCCCACTTGAACGGAACAGCCCGAACAGCCCAGGCCAATTTCCGCACCCGTGGCCATCTGCCCGATCATCCGTTTCCACTGCGTGTTTGACGGCGAAGGGCGCATGAAATCGCTGGTTTCCGGGACCCGACCAGACTGATCCGAACGACACGAACCCTGTGGGGTCAGTGGGAAGGAGGATGTGCTTGATTTGCCAGGAATGCCAGGAAATGGACATTGGTGTTGGTTTCATGGTTTTTAAAAGCAACATTTTGAGGTTTTGAACCATGCTTGATGAATAGACTCCTTTGTCACCTTGTGAAAACCTTCACCATAGACACTCCCTTCCTTTCTTTAAACCCAGCTGATGTGCAAGGCACCGATTCTTGCTCATTTTTTTGTATGTTTGTGACGATCAGCTCAGCTTGTAAGGGACTCACCACAGTACTCACCGCATCCTCAGCATCCTCACGGAGCAACCCCCAAACCTTCGGCGGGTCGCGATGCTTCGGGGGGGGATGGAAATCGGTCGCTGGCGCTCCAGGACATGGACAAGGACCGAGGTCGGAGGGGATGGTCATGGCCACCGTCATGGAGAGGAACCTTTTGCTTTGGCGAAAAGCGATGTGTTTCTCTCTTTTTTTCTTTTTTCCCCAAGGGCCATGTGTATCTGTATATGGCTTTACTGGAAGTGTGCGTGTGATTTGGTGATTCTTTTCCAAAGGCTATCTGTGATGAGTGACTCAAGTGGGTTCTTCAAAGGCCAAAGTGTCCTTTCGAGGCACAATGCAAGACATTTGGTTCTTTGGTGAAGGCTCCCACACCGCTCACCGCCGCTCACCTGGACCTAATCACTGGTGGACAACAACTTCTGGGGACCTCAAAACTTAGGGATCTGAGACCCCAATTCCCCCTCAATAATGTAGGGTCTGTCCTCTTTTGATTGGAGTATGTCTCCCTACAGGTCAGAGACCTCACTTCACAGAAGTGGATGATCCAACGAACAATCACTAGGTTTTGACCCAACGACCCATGACGGCTGGGTCTCCCAACCGTCCGAGTTGGGTCATGGCCCTTCCGCTCCCCCCCTACACTGCCCCGAACATGGAAACGGACCTGAAACTACGCACCGCACGACATGAAAAACGACCGGGCGCCTTACCTTGATTATGTTAAGATTCTTTTTTTGGAGCAGAAATTTTCCCCCAGGGCCGTTTGCGAGGAGTTGTTTGCCTCTCGGCGCACCCAGTGAAATGCTGCAGGACCAATCCGGAACCATTTCGATGGATCCTAGGGCGAAATCTTTCGGTGGAAGGGATGTTTGGATCATGGACGATGCGGGGGGGAAGAGATCAGGTGCACCAGGCAGTTCTCGTTCTGGTTTTGGGTGCTGGGTTTCGGGTTGACATCGAAATCATGAAACCATCGGGGGTATTTGCTTACAGTAATTAGGATAACTTCTTTTCATGTTCGAAGACTTACACTCTTCACTGCCTTAGTTTTTGTTTTTTTCGGTGCCAACACACCGAAGGTTACAGACTTTTCGGGGTGGACGAGAGGTCGTCAAGTCCTACCTACTCTCTTTTCGGGTCCCCGGTAGCTTTGCCGGCGGCGTTTCGCTCTGCGTTCGGTTTTGTGGTTCATTTGTGACAGGGACTGAGACGTTCTCCGTTTTGGGGGAGGGACCCCTGCTCTTGAGACAGAACTTCAATTCTGAGCTACAGTGTCTGCGCAGCTACACGCCAGCAGTCTCAGCCCAGCTCATGGTCTTTCTTTCTCTTCCCAGGTCGTAAGACCGGAGTTTCGATCTTGCGATGGCCCCCTGCTGTATGTGTGGCACCTGCCGACCCACCGACCTAATGATGCCCTTCGATCCACTTGTTCAAGGTCCGATCCGATTCTCTGACCCCCGATTTCGTCGTGGAAGAATCGGCAGAGCATCATCGCACACTTGCTCTCAACTTGATTTGGGCATCTAGGGGCCCCACAAACCATCAAAGACCTTGGATTCTCCGAAACAAAAGACTGGTACACTCTGACTCACTAACATGGAAGACTACTTTCCTTTACCAACCGGTGGTTTTCCACTTCCATGTGATGTGTTCGTCGGAGTGTATAGAAATTCCATGTGCTTCGCCGGCTCTTCGCCGGGCCACTGCGTGGGCCGAGACGCGCATGGACTGAGGATGAGTACATCTCCTACGCTCTTGCCATGTGACTTCGTCGAGAACGACGACTCGAACACCACACGGACGACGGGAGCGGGGGAGAACGACTGGACGCCCGGTGTGGCCACACCATCAGTTCGAAGCAGTGACTGTTGACTCTTTGATGGACTTGACGCCCAGTCCGTCTATGAGGGAAGCCACTCAGTTTGGGTGGAGCTACTTGGGGTGAGAAGATGGATCTGGATGCGTTCACCGCGGCTGTAGTCGCTGTAGTCGCCGGTTACGGGAGTCCGCAACGGGTTGTTGTTCGTCGTTTCGCCCAGTCGACGTCAGTGAGTTCGGGTCAGTGAGTTTCAGTCAGAGAAACCGGGACCAAGGATATCTGTGGGTGGAAATGGGGGATATATTAATCCCACTATACCCTCTGCTGTGAAGTATCTTCAAAGGAGGATTTATTCGACCAAACATGGTGGATTTTAAGATGATAAAAGATGATCAAAGGCACGAACATTCACGGTATGAATGGGATTCATGGCGTTGAAGATGCAAGCGACCCTTTTGGCCAGCGAATTCTTGGATTGATCGCCTGAACTCCTCCAGAGACCTTCTCCGGCCGACCGACACCCCGCGTGCACGGTGGGTTTGTCCCGCACAGGACACCAAACGCGCACGCTGCGTCGAGACGCAGCGCGGTGAAAAGATGGAAATGCTGCGGAAAGCGGGCCGAAAGGGACACGTTCGATCGACGCCGTCGAACGAAGCGCCGTCGAACGGTTTCAAGACCAACGCCCTCGATTTCACCGGGTCGTTGTGGAAGAGGGGGAACCCCTGGGAATCGCATCGGGTGCTTCGACTCAGAGGATTCAGACGACGATGAAGCCTCATAAGGAAGATGCTCATTCAGTGTCCCCGGATTGGTTAAACTGACTCATTTGATGGTTCGAATCCTGGTTTCCAAGCAATTTTTGCTGAGAATTGACATTAAAAAACCAGGTCCTTGCCATTTTTTTGAACGGTTGAACGGTTTCGGCGAACGGGGAGTGGTTTACCAGCACCGGAACTCCCATCGCCCGACACCGGAACTCCCTCGCTGTGCTGCCTGCTCCGAGCCACACCATACATCTGACGAGATGAGGCGTCCTCAACATACCACAAAGATCTAGAAGTTCGAACCGAGCCATCCAGCACTAGCTAGATGTGGGAAGACACCGAAACATCATTGGCTCGACGTCCGGTGCTGTTTTTTGGAAGATGGATTATGATGGATTCATTGGGTTGTACCGTACTTTTGAGCCGATTTCGGGCCATGTGAGGAACCTTGAAATCGCCAGGCCGGCCGAAAGGGCCTTCACTCCGCCTCTTTAGGCGGCAGGTTTGGCCGCCACCACGAGGCCCCCGCCGCCAATTCCATATCAACTCCACTCCCCCCACTCACCGTACCCACTCAGCCTGGCGTCCCAGTAGGCCTTACTTGGGTCTCCCACCGTCCATGTGGCGCCATGGCGGTGCAGACGGACCCACTCACGGCGTCGCTGCAAGAGGAGAAGCTCTTGGAGAAGTTGGCGCAACATGCGGAGCTGAGCTCAGAGCCCCACCGAAGGTGAACAAACATTTCAGCTTCGAGTCCTGGAAAAGAACGAGTGCATTCCTTGGTCATTTCCGGGCGTCCAGCCTGGGGAGGGAGGCCGCTTCGGGGCACAGCTCCGTCGATGGACCTCTCGCTCTTCCGCTTGGGATTCGATGGATTCCGACTCGTTCGTCGTCTGGACTCGTTACCCAGGAGGTGCGACAGCACATGGCGGATCAAGGCTTCCTCAAGGAGCTGGAACGCCTCCAACAGCTCCTGGGCATTGGTACACACGCACACGGGACACACTTAGGTATAAAGCTCAACTGGTCGAGCATTCGTTCAGTTAATGACTCACAGGTGCATTAGCCCTTGACATTACTGAAGATTAGACCTTGACTTGCAGAACTGAAAGGCGATTCATCGGCACGTAACAGAAGGTTTCAACAAAGCGCGTTAGCCCTTTAGTGAAGAGGAGGGTAAACAGCTTGTCAACACCACAAAAAAAGCAGGTACATTCAGAAAGCGTCCTCTCCGAATATCACATCCGATCAGAGGTGTCTTTGTTAGGCAGTGACTGCTGAAGGGATCACTGCCCCAGGTTCCGCTACAACCTAACAAGCCTTTAGCAACGAACAGAAGACCTAGAAAGAGAAAAACGAGAAAGGAAGGAAAGAAAGCATCTCCCAAAAGAAAACCGGTCAAGTTTGAATGCCACCTCCCTGCAGATGAACCGGTGGTCTAGGCTCAGAACCTTTGCGGTTAAACAAATTACAGCGTCCCGAACAGCCCACAGAAATGGTCGAGAAAACAGCACATTGTTTTGCAATGTTTTTGCATCAATGATTGACGTGATGGGAGGTATTCACGGTTGATCACGCCATGCTTCCAACTCCGCATTCCTTTGTTGAGTTTGCCTTCGGAGTGCTCAGTGTCCTTGTCGAAAAGGTTCGGCTATGGTTGTTCCCCCCGGCGGCTAAAGGTTTCTGAGAGAAAGGTCCAGTGAAGCACTTCTCAAAGCAAAAGCTGACCTGTGACTCCAGGGTGCAGGGGAAGGACAGTTCGGAGTGTTCGTCTCGCAGCAGTGAGGGGTGTTTTTGTTATGTTTTTCAACAGGTGACCGCGCCCTTCCCAGGATGCGGACCCTGTTAAAGAAGTGATCAGGAAGGTATAGTACGGAACCCTTGTGAGTTCGTCTTCCTTTTCCTCTTCTATTTCACTTCGACGTCCTCTGGACTATCTCACGGTGGTGTTCTTGGATGAGCTCTACTGATGCTGAATGAGACTTTCCTTGTTTTCCCTCCTTTCTTGGAACCTTTGCCCACTTGGTTTGGCCTTTGGATACCCTTGCTGTTGTCTTGGCCCCTGCAAAGTCAGAATTTCACGCGAAGGGGCAACTGCCATCCAGCTCGGAAAAGTGGACAGCATTCACATCCTGGTTTCAGGTCGGGGAGAAAGGAACTGCGCACGTTCCTGCGACAGAAAGCCGGAGAGACGTGAAGGACAAGATGGGAGCGGGAAGCCCACCAGGACAAAACCGAGGAACCAAACAGGATTGTCAGAAAACTGGCGGTTTGCATGCAAGTGTGCGCTTGCACAAACTAAGGTTGAGGCAAACGTTCGAGCAAGGGGCGAAAAGGATGAAATGACAAAGCACAAAGAACGGCCAGGCATGAAAGTAAAAACAGGAAAGCTGTGGAAAGGCAACGAAGGGGAACCAAGTGTGAGGAACAAAGGCCAAACCTCATCAAAGAACCTGGGGCACCTAGCCTCGCTTGGTTTGTTTTATGCGCCGCGCGCAAATTGAAAGGGGCAAGGAAAAGAGAATGAAGGAACAGCCAAAACAAGATGCAGGGTAACATGGCAACACATGGAATGAAGGGCAACAGGAGGAAGACGAACGAGGTACATGACGCGAGCGCACGCGAGCAAGAGAAAGGAAGGACACGAAGAGAGGGGAGAGCAAAAACACGTGCCATGTTTGGAGCGTTGACACATCGCTTGTCGACAGGAAAGGAAGCATCCAGGGCTGGGACTTGCCTCAGTGTGATCAAAGAAAGAAAAAGGACAAAGGGAAGGGGTGAAAGCATGTGAAAACTCAGATCAGCAAGAATTGCTCATGGATACTGGCAGCTGCATTTTTTTGTGCCAAAGATATCCCTCCTGCTGCCTGCTTTGGGCCATGGGCCGACTTTGTGCTACGCGCTCCTCCTTGCCTAGGCTGAGACACATTAATTAGAGCAATAACGGACACCAAAACAAAGGTCTAAAGATCTAAACAATACCGGGTCCAGACACACATGCAAAAACACGCTTTGCTGGTTCGAACACTGCCTTTTTTCGGGACAGTTTTTGGCCGTTTTTATTTCATTTTTTTCGGACAAGGGTTTTTCCTTCACGTTGATCAATCAACATGTTGTTTTCAGGTCCTTCAAGTGTTGTCCTCAACCAGCTTGTTGAGGAGCCAGCTTGATGGAGACGAAACGGTTTTGTGTCGTCCGGTTTGGGCCGCCGAGGTTGGCCTGTTCCGAGGAACCAGGCGAGGCTTCGTTGGGAAGAAGGGGAGAGAGGTTCGTGGATGGGAGGAGGCGAGCCCTGGAGCCGTATACCATGTCCAACAGCCCTATTTGGGTCAGCCTGGCTGTTAACATTCATATGCCCATCTATGCAAAGGCTTGTTTCGTTTTCGATGTTGGCACGAGAAGCACGACCGTCTCCCCGTGGAGATAGGTCGTGTGGACGGGTCCTTTTCATCGGAACCGATGGGCTGCGACGAGCCGATACGAGACGGAGGGTGGATTTGCGGGAACCGATTGGAGCGGGTTCGGCTATGCTATTTCGTGTGATGAGTAGATGACATGTATCTCCAACTGGTGCGGGAGGCCGCGAGGCCGCGAGGCCGCGAGGCCTGACCTTGAGTCATTACTCAGGACACTTCGCCGTTGATCACAGCCGTGCCAAAAATCGGTAGGAGAAACTAGGCACCTTCACAGGGATCACCAATGGAAGCCCCAGCCCACTACTTAGGGTCTTAGGGATCTCCAGCCAGGACACCCCGAAAGAAGGTCCTGGTTTTTCAATTTTTTCTTATCTAGGTTCTTAGACCTTAGAAGCCTTTCTTCCCTTTGTTTCTTTCTTCCTTTAGACCGTCTTTCTTCCTTTTCGCACACCTTTTTCGTTAGCATCGACGGTCCTCGCCGTGCGACGTCTCGACTTTGACGTCGCAGCTGCGACTCAGGCGTGGGACAAAAAGTGGCCCTCGCGGCCCAGAAGGACCCCCGCATCATGCAGGTCGGCGATGGACCGCGGTGGATGCCGACCCTCGCCTTGAGGAAAACACTACCTGATGAGTGTTGTTGTTTGGTGAAGACATCTGGAAAAGCCTCGGAAAGCCAGCCTTCCGACACCCACCCGGCGGACGGCTTCGCCGCAAAAGACATCGCCCCTCGCGAACGTTCGGGAGGCACTGATGGCCTTGCAGGGCCATGGCCTTGTCGTGGACGAGTCGGACCTCAAGAAGGCACCGCAGTGGCGATGGGGGACGAAGGATTGAAAGAAGGATTCCTGTTAAAGATGGTGGAGAGAATTTTTTCTTGGAACCTGAAAAGAACCATTCTTCTGATGCCTGCAAAGATGTGTTGCCTGACTCGATCGTTTCCGAGTTCCGATCATCGCCAGTCGACCACTGGTCGGAGGGACAGCATCAAACGACCCCCTTCAAAGATTGAGAAGTACGTCACTTTCTGCATCTTTGCCGCACGCACGCTACTAGTAGCTCCTGGCCGTACTACTAGGAACAAAGGGCATCGCTACGAACGGAGCGACCGGACTCTACTAAGAGCTGTCGTGAGTTGGCGCTTTTGGAGGTCCAACAGTAACCCCGTCAGCTTCGCAGGCCGAGCGTGTGGGCGATATGCCGCGGAGGGAGCCGGTGCCGCTCCCGGGAAGATCTCGCGCCCGGGAAGCGCTGTGAGGGACGGCGGGTTTCCACCGCAGGCGTCCCAGCAAGGGGAGGACGTGTTTGTTATTTTTTTAAAATTTTCTTCCGGAAGGGATTGGAAGATCTAAGATGAGAACCCGGATGATCTTGACCTTCGCTACAGGTCCAGTCGGTCCAGTCTCCTGGTCTCTCGGTCCGCAGCATGCCCTGTTCTTGCACGAAGAACTTCAGTATTTCACGAGGTCAGTTCTTGCCCGACCCTGCTGGGTTTGGTCCAAAACACCCAGGATGTCGCGGCCGCAGCGCTGGATGTTGCGTCAATCACTGGTGTCACCCAAACCGGCTTCACCGAAGCGACGGAAGCTTCCGCTCGCTTCGCGGACGGACGCACGGTCGGAGGTGCAGTTGGAGCAGTTGCTCCTGGTGAAGGATTTGCAGGTGCAGATGTGTGTGAGAGTTGTGGATGTGTGAGGAAAGGATTGGGGCAAGTTGGGACAGATGGGACGAGTTGGGACAGATGCCCGACTTTCTTTTGTTTGTTTTTTTTGTTGGGACAAATCACCTCAGATGGGGTCAGACTTAGTGACTTCGTCCATGACTCGGTTGTCCAGGCCTTCTAAAGCGGGAAGAGCCAGCGCATCCGAAGAACTCCAAACCGAGGGATACCGAGGGTATTGAAGGGGTTTCCCGAAGACCAGACGGCGGGAGCTTCGTTGAAGCCGACGCCAGGATCCAGAGGAAGCACGACTCAAGGGCAATGAGCACTTCAAGGCGGCGAGACCTCCAAAGCAGCTGGGGTGCTGCTTTGACCTCTTTCGGAAGACGTTGACCCAAAAAGATATCAGATCCAAGCTGTGGCAGCTGTGGAAGCTGCCTGGAAGCTGTAGAAGCTGCAATGCAGCTGCCGTACGTCTACTGGAAGGATCCCGAACTGCCGTCCTCCCAGCTCCGACCGACCTCTGCGTCCTCCGTCCTCTCCCAAGGCGGGGCGGGTGTCCGAAGCTTTGGCGCACTACGTGCGGAGCTTGGGAGAGAGAAGAGCCAGACAGCTTCGACTCGCCGGTGGGGGGGGGATCTTTTGGGCTGAAGAGCCAAGCAAAAGGGGCAAGGGGTAGAGAAGCACCGCCTGCTCACGTTTAATTCAGCTTCTATGTGCATTCAATCAGCTTCTCTCTGACAGAGGTGGTTCTTGCAAACAGAAGCTGACTGACTGAGCTGCCCATATTGGAGAGGATGGGTCCTTATTCGAGTCGACCGGGTACCGTTCTGTCTGGGCGGTGCCACGACAGATCGGTAATTTGGGTTCCCCCCCCATGTGGGGTGTGTAGCTCAAGACATGGGAGGTGTCCTCCCAACGCCTGGGGAGACCTCCCTGCTGGGTTCGGTTCCTGAAATCAACCTTTCGTCCGTGCCAGACGTGCGAGATCTCGGGCCCTCTGTAGAGAAAAACAACCCCTACCCTCTGTAGACCAAACCTGCATGAGGGAGCTTTTTCCAGATTCCTCTCCACTGACCCTTTTGAGGAGAAGGGCCTGGAGCTCTTCCAAGGAAAGGCTGAAGTGCCAGCGGCGGCCGTGGCGACGCTGCTCAGCAACGCGGCGGGACCCAACCGTAGAAGCGACCGCTGAAGTCGGGAGCGAAGCAAGGGGGCTTTGGAGATCATCCACTTTGAGTTGTGGGTTAACTACTTGATACATGCATGTTTGGTATATATTTCGCCCAACTGTTGGGGTATGTTGGGGTTCTATCTTCGCCACCTCATTGGCCGCGCCCCTGAACTCTGTGGCTGGGCTCTGTGGCCCGTCTCTGTGTCCGGGTCTTGTCCTCCTCTAACTCTGTGGCCCGGCTCTGTGTCCGGGGGTGCAGTTCCCAAACAGCTGGAGGCTTTAGAAAAGTATAATTGCATTCGTTTCCACCAACATTGGAATTTTCGGAGTTGACGCCGACGCCGAAAAAATGCTGACGCCATTTGGGGTCTATGTTGGTACAATTTGTGTACACATGATATGATATGTGTAGCCACATAGTTTCAAAATGATCTGTGTTAGCTTCCAAATCTTTCTACATCAGATCATCAGACATCATCAGACACATCTCTTTGATCAGGCATCTGCACATCTCTTTGATGTTGCTTTGGTGCTCTTTGGCATGTGACGAAGCCTCCCGCCAGGCCCTCTGCTACTTGAAACTTCAATGGCCCGAGCGGGTGCCCTGGGTGAGGGCGTTGGAGGGTCTGAAGACCAGGTGAAGTTGGACATCAAAGAGGCGTGGTCCTACCAGGCCCGTGCCTAGCATATTTGGATGAAGATATTGAAGGAACATGGACCAGTCTACCCAGCCAGGGGCGAGGTCTCGACGGTCTCGCCTAGTAAAATACGCGCCCATATTGAGAAAAGACCATTGAATTATGGAGGTAGGCGAAGATATCCTGGTTTGTTGACCATTGTTTTTCCCTTTCTTGGAAGATCGCGTGCTTCATCATCTGTTCGTCTGCATCCTTCATAGGACCATTTTCGGGCTGATCGCTTGTTCGCGGCCCGAGAAGAATGGACGTTCACGATCCACGCACCCTGATCCACGTGCACGTTTTTCGCTCGTGAACGAACGGACCGATTCAGGGTCCATCGCGTCCTCTCGTGTCCATCGCTACGGTCGGGAGGCCAAGAAGAAGGCGACCACGGCCATTGTGGCCATCAAGCAAGCAGGAGAGTGCGGAGCAGACGAATACAGAGACGGGGGTCAGGGTGGTCAGGGTGGTGATACGTTCTGACCCCTCAGCACCACTCAGTTTGGGGTTTGGGTATTTTTGCTTGACACCCGTGACTGTATATACATGGTTTATCATAGTTTCATAACCGGTGGTTTTGGCTATGCGATCTTTGAATTGGGGGTGAACACCTGTACTTTACTGCACCCAGATGAGTTCTTGCTTAGGGCTCCGCACACAGTGTGATGTAGCCCAGAGTACCAAACCAGGGCATCCAGCCAGGTGTTAATTTGGTCAGTTCGGAGAGCACATGATCTCATTTTTACAGTGCTTACTGGCTTTTGTGTTCGTTTTTGAGTTGGTACCTGCTACCTCATGGATTTTGTCTGAGAACTTCTACCTGTCTTCCAATGTCGGTGTGTACACTGAAGCGCAACGCCCCTTACTGTGCTCACAGGTGCTGCAATCGCCGCCGCCGCCGCTCCAACACCTCCGGAACCATCCGCGCCCCCGCGTGGTTTGAAAAGCAGACCCCGGATCCGTGGTTTTGTGGTGTCAAAGCCGTAAACCCATGGTCGTTGCGGGATTTCAGGGGCCGTTTGGACCGGAGTGGACCGGTGCGTAAGCGGCTCGGGACGCGTGAGTTCGAGCGGTGCAGGGACTGGCGACTTTGACCAGTCCAAGCTCTACTACAGGACGGTGGGAGTGCGTGTGTTTTATCGGGTGGGTGCTGGGTTAGTTGGGTAAGTATGCCCTAGGCTTCCAACCACCATTCATTTATTAGGCTGAATCCCGAATCAACTAAGGATTTTACACTACAAAAACCACATGGTTCCCATTGTTTTACTGGTCGAACGGAAGTCTAGGGTATGGGTTCTTTGGAGGGGTTGAGACGAGAGGAGACGGCTTTTCCAGATGGCCTCGGCAGATGTAACATGGCGAAATAACTCTTCTTTGTTTGTATCGTGGCTCTTTGAATGACAGAGTAAAAGTGTTCTTTCTTCGGTAAATGCAAACAAAACGCAATTCACACACACAATTTCCCAGATTTAACTTCGCCACCGAAGGCCGGAACTGGAGAGAAGTGCCAACGCACGTGTTGGATCACCATTTTGTTTGCAAGACTTGAGAGTGCCAACGGTAACACTGTTTGCGAACCAAAGGGGCAAGCAAGGAGACAGGCAAGAAGACCAGCGGCAAACAAAGACCAAGTGATTTTGGAACATGTCCTGCAAGTCATCTGAAAGGCACAGTATTGAACACGATCCCAGTTTGGACCAGTGGAAAAAAACGGAGAACACCCAGGAGCAACCGACGCACCAAATTCGCTTCTTCGAGGCCCACATGCCCGTTAATTAATTGCTGCCGGCAGCGAGCCCAAAACGTTCTTTTTTTAAAAGTTCGGTGCCTGCCAGCCGTGTGTGTGTTTCCTGGCTGGCTTTCGCGTAGAAGCGGCGTTCCGCAGTTCCAAGCATCGAAATGATGTAGTTGTTGCAGACATTGATTGCAAGCGAAATTGTAAGGCAAACAAAGTGCATATATACCAATACAATCATTCTCAATGGCTTAATGGCAAGCCCAAACGTTCAGCTCTGGACGACAACGACAAAACCTCTTGCAGTGCGGGAGGTTGCCCAGACTTCATGTTTGGCTCGCCGAAAGAAATGCTTTTCGAAATATCCAGCTCGTCAGGAGAGCTTTGGCCTGCGTGCCTTGGCTTGGCAGAATGGGGAAGAAGAACTGATTGAGTGAACGGTCGCGAAGATGGGGAGAATGTAGATAAGCCTGCCAGTTTGGGAGTAGAAGTGTCACAACCTTCAGAGTAAAGACCAGGTCCCCCGCTCTATGGCCACCCTATGATTCCCCTCCTTGCGTCAAGCATTTTTGTGGGCAAACGCTAAAGTGCTGAAGCAAAGGTCATCTGCCGGATTCTTTTTTGACTTGGTCTTGAAGTCACCAACACTTGCTTACAGCTACAGGGTTCATGGCTGCAATTCTTTTGTCTTGAACAGCCTTTTCTGGCAAGCATCTCTCTAGCTGAACCTTTCTTTTTGACCCAACCCTATTCTTTTAACATCTTTCAACCCTGGCACATGCTTTTAGGCCGTGGATCGGAAGAGAAACTGTGCAGTTGAACACCTTTCACACCAACCCGTCCCATCGTTTTCTGCCGGTTCCTACCAGCCAAGACAATCCCAGCATCATCATCGCAGCAAAAATGAGCTGGGGGGTTCCCGAATTGCCCATCTATAACTCACCAGAAATCACACAATTCTGTGGGAAAGACATGGTCAAAGTACTGAGAAGCCTTTTTCGTCGGTCAAAAGGGTGGGATGAGATTCTGTCCTTCAGAACGAAGCCGCAGAACCGGGGATCTTAGAACTGCCCCTTTCCTTGCCAGCGGCCAAAGCTTCATCCTGTTTTTCTCCCAGTGCCGATGGGTTCACCTGAAACGTCGCTAAAACTTCGAAGACAGACGTCACCCGGTCGAAAAGGGTGGGCCCCCTTTTGGTCGCAAAGACCAAGCAGACATGCGGGGTGACCTGAAAGCGCAGAAGCTGCGGCGTTTGGTTTTCTGAGTGGATCCCTTCTTGCAATCGCCAACGAAACGACTTTCGGTCAGCATGTGTGCTCGAAAGAACCATCGCCCCTTCAGGAGGCCTTGAAGGAGTTTGGTGCCTTGACGGGAACCCGGACAAACCCGAGGAACCGAGGAACGTCGCCGGGGCGCCGCGAGGGGGGTTTGCGGAGAACGAAACCCAAGCTAGGTGGGGGCACTCCCCAAGCGTGGTAGACCGTGGTCAACCTGACCAGGGTTTGGGCTCCAAGTTCGGCTGCAAATCCTTTCAAAACACTCAGCTTCGGCTTGCAAATTCTTTTTTTGGATTCCTTTCTCTTACGGAACCGTCCCCTTCGCCTAATCAGACCGGTCCCTTCCACTGAACCCGCTCTCTTTGGCAGACCGGGACGGTCTCTCGGACCATCCCGGGTCGAGATCGGGCCGGTTCGGCGAGCGGAGCGACGGAACCTTCCGTCGGCCCCAGCGAGGCATGGCGGTGGACGACATGCTTTGCGCTTTTCAGCCTGGGAGCTGAGCGGGCGACGGCTGAGCGTAGCCGCGACAGCTGTGGAACCAGCTCAGCTCAGAACTGTTTGGGAAGGTGGTGAGGTTTGGGAAGGTGTTTTTGGCGCACAGGTGTGGGGCGTCGGTATTCTTTTAGAGACGGAGGTTGGTTGGGAAGCTTTCAGGTGTTTTTTGTTTTGTTCTTTATCTTAGACATGCGATTCTTGATTGTTTCTTTTGGAGGATCCTTGGTTAGGTGCAGCGAATCAACTATGATGGTGTCTAGCAGGGCCACTATGATAGTTGGAGCCGCCTTTTTTTCAACGCAAGCGGAGAGGAGATGTTGCGCTTCTTTGTCCGACACTTTCTTTATCAACTCGGCTCCAACAGGGTGCATCGAAAAAGTGATGGACCCGGACTTCAATCGAATGGACCATCAGTCTGACAGTTATTAAAGTATAATTTCCCATACCAAAGAGACCAGATGATGATGATCCCGGATGAAATTCTACTTGATCATGCAGGCTGCAGATTCCTACTAAATGCTAGACAAATCCGAACACCCCCCCGGTTTTCGCTCCATTTTCCACCTGTCTCGTGAACTTTTTGCGCTCAAGGCATGCCAAAGGCACTGCTGCAGGTGCTGCAGCGGCCTTGAGCTTGGCTGAACAACACCGGCTGAAGGGAGAGGTGCGAACTTGATGCTTCAATGATTTTTTTGATTGTTTTTCTTGAGGTGGTGCCGCCAAATATAATAGTGTCTGGACTTCTTGGGTTCTTGTCATGATATACGACATGCTTTTTCGACCAAAGCAGAGGCCTTAGAATCTGATCGGTTCCTGTCGCTTCAAAGACTTCTATCCCTTTCCAGATGCGTTTGCACAAAAGCAGAGACTTTGGAACCTATCCTGCTTCAAGTTGTTGTTTTGAAGACTTCTATCAGAACTTCTATTCCTGCTTCCAGTGGACGAGGGCACGCACACACGGCGCTAACATATTGAACCAAGGCCTCACCCCCGAGTTCCAATGCCACAGTCTGGTCCGTCCGCCGCTCTGGTCGGGCAGGTGGAACGGCTGAAGAAGTTGAAATCCTCCGCCGAGGCCGACATGGTGAAAAAGCAGCAGGAGAAGGAGAACGCTCCCTGGAGAGACGCAGGATGGTGTGGGGCAGTCGGATTGGTTGGGGCAACGGTTTTCTATGATTTTCTCATTTTTTTGGGGGGGAAGCAACGCTGTTGCTTGAAAAGATCCGGCTTCCACCATGAGTCGTTGGTTGCGACTTTCAAAGTCGAGCTCGCGCCCCCCCAACAACCGCCGGGAAACCGAGGGCGTTCATGAGGGGATTGCTGTTCAGGAAACGCCCACTTGGTTGACATTTTAAGGCCACTTGCTACAAGTTCATGTGGAGATGATTGCCAGTCTACTTGCATGAGCACCAAAATCTCCGCGCTGCCGTGAGTTGAACGCCTGGTGAAACCACTCAATCTGGCGACTGAGGAAAAGACTGCGGAGGTGCAGCGCTTGCAGGGTACGAAGCTGAAGAAGGAAGGCCAGCAGGGCCAGCACTACAGCGGATTCGGCCGCGCATGCGCGCGCCCTTCCAGTGTTTGGGAGACCAACCGCGCATTCAATGAGAGTTGCTTTTCCCAGGCAGCAGATTGACGCACTCATTCTCCCCCACAACTTTTTGGGAGAGCCTTTTATAATCTTTTATATATCACTCGGCTCAACCTCTTTGCTCACTGGACGTCTTCGTGTTTTCGCTCTCCGGGCTTCCGTTCCAGACGGCCCAAAGGGCCTCGGCGACTCGAGCAACACGATTTCACCCTGAGGATGATGTTGGATGCAATGAAGCACCAACTTGACCACTGGAGACCCGGGAGAGGCCCGCCACCCTGGGGCCCGGGCCGAAAAATCCTCCAGCGCCACGCGATCACGTCGCCGTCGCCACCGTGGGTCTGGCCAGGCTATTCGAGCCAAGTGAGCAGTGCCTTCGTCCGAGTGGGAAATCGAGTGATCATTGCCAAGCAGGATCTTATAATGAGGACTGGACATTCAGAACATGAATTTATCATGAACCCCCAAATACACATGTGTTGGACATTGTTTGGTTCTTTTGGGTTCTCTTTTTGGGTGTTTCGTTGGACAAAGTGTCCCCAGTCTCCACAAAATGCTCATCCCCAAGGACGAGCTTTTACTCACTGGAGAATGGACCAAAAAACACGAAAACACAACAACTTGTTTGGAAGTCATCGTTCTTCCCGAGCGTGAAGCAAGAGAAGCAAGCGAAGCAAGCGAAGCATGGACATCCAGTCTTTTTGGGGGACACCTGTTTCCAGTCACGGAAATGACCCGTGCCGCGTGCCCGGACAATTGCACAAGTTGGTTCTTCCATACCATGAGCTTTGCTGGGGCAAAACATGGGCAAAGCGTGAGCACATTCCATGTTTACTGGTGTTTCCAATGCCTGAGGCGAGTACCTGGCTGAGCAGGATTTCTCTCATTGGGCGCTTCAGCGCGTGAAAGAGGGGGTGCCTTGGCCCCCTCCGGCGATGGGAGAGATGGGTGGAACTGCTGCGGCCCGGAGTGGTGGAACGGTGGAATGGCGCTCTGATGCGGTGGGGATTTGTAGAGCAGGAATCATTGTTTGTCGTTTCAGCGGTGTTTGAAAGATTTGTAGAGCTTCAATTTGATGCCGTGTGTTTTTTTCTTTTTTCAGAGCAGGTCAAGGGATCTGCAGAGGGGGCTGAGTGGGGGGGAATTACCCCCCCAAACATGCCAAGGTAAAGAGTCTGACAGGAAGCTGAAACACACTGAAACACCATGAATCCAGACACGCAAACACCATTTGCTTAAAAGCTCTTATTCAGAACCTTCACCTAAATACGATCTTGCTCGTCCTTCCGTAATACAGTAATACATATCGTCCATTCCGTACTGGCAAACACCTTTGTCGCTAAAAAACCCAAGCTTTTGACCTCAGCATTACATTCAAAGACTGCTAACATGAAAGTCACACTACATCGAGCTTACTTGGCGGGACCAATTGTTGAGCATTGCTGGGCCTGAGGGTTCCTTTTTTTTTGCGTTTACGGTGGAATAAGCCATTCTGGATGTAGCTCCTTATGGTGATTTATAGTGCGAACCACTTGCCCCTGAGTTACACGAGCCCATACTGTTTTACCTTGGGCAAGTTTTTTGAGCGTTGATGGGCTCGATTGGATGTCGCGTTCATACTGGCAAATGTGAATCCGAAAAAGTGTTGTCTCACGTGTTGTCAATTGCAGAAAACACGGCGACGAAGTCGTGACATGTTTGGGACGAAGTCGCCGTTTGCTTGTCGTGACATGAACTTCACCTAGGAAACCACACAGTCTTCCACTGCATACTCTCAATATAACTTTGAACTTTAACTCCTGCCATAATGTCTTCATCTGCATACTTTTGAACTTCACCTCCTACCATAAAGGCTTTATCTGCATAATTCCAACAGACTCAAACGTGTTTGTCTATACATGCATGGGTGTGTGCTCGTTTGTCTTCTGTCGAAAGTATCAGTGCATCACTATGCGATACCTGCATATATTTATCTACACATGCTTGAGCCTTTGCTTCGTTACTCTTTCTCATGCATTTATTCTAGAAAGAACGCATTGCTTGCATCTCTGTTTGCCTCATGCCCATGTGCCATGAATGAAGTTGCCCGCTTTAGGGTATTTCATTCTCATGGTAAAACGATCACACACACACACATGTAAAAGCAACCTCAGCAGAAAAAACACGCTTCCGCCACCCGCACCATCACCGGAAGAGGGCGAGGCGAGCGAGGCTCGCGTTTTTCTGAGGTGCTTGGAGTCACACACACCGCTCAGAACGGAGCAACGATTGAGATCGCGTCTGGGACGCACATTCTCCCCCCTCTCCTTGGAGAGAGAGGTGATGATCGGGAGTCTTCTGCGGTGGGAGTCTTGCCCCACCACCAGGTCGGCCAGATGCGCCACCGGCTTTCCGCGCAGACCAACCTCTCGCATTCTCGGTTTTAAGGCCGGCTGGTCAAGAAAGTCCTGAAGCGCTTTTCTCCCAGGAGTCTCACATGGAGTTGGGTGGTCTTTAGCCCCATCCAGTGAGTGGATGTTCTGGGCACCCCTATCCTCCAATAGGCACCCCTTTGTGACTCCTGGAAGAAACGTCTTTCTTCTTCAAACTGCCTGACAGACTCCGACGGACGGAAGTGGATGGTATGGGCAATGATGATTTTCAGAATACCAAACAGGAGGTGAACTCCACTTCCATGTGAGTGAGTCGGAGTGTACCAAGACTCAGGTGTTTGCGATCTTTTAGAATGGCAATCCACGCATAACCCGCCAAGCGAACGAACGCCCGGGTTCCGGCGAACCATGCCATCCACATCAACGGTTCATGGAGTATGAAGCCACGGCCTAGCTGCCCAGCGGCCCCCTTACCAAGCCTATGTGGTTGGGGAGCAGGGAGCTTGTCGATCGAATGCCACGATGTTCGAGCACTGAAACGTATAGAAACACCAAACACCAATCCCATCGCGCCCCTTGTTTGCACGCGGCGGCTGCTTTCAGGTCGAGCTCCAGGAGCATTCCAAGGTGTGGACGATGTGTTCAGAGATGTTCAGATGGTTTCGGATGTGGTTTCGGGTGTCGATGAGGACAGTCGAGTGTAGAGGGTGATAGCCAGAGGGACAAGGAGGAAGCTGCTGTGGGGCACATGGGACCCGAGAGAGAATCGCGCTTGGGACTGATCAGTGCTGAGCTACCGAAAACCGATATGTTCGGTTGCTCCACGTTACTGTAAGTGGTGCCACGGTTTTCGCAAACGGTGAGCATCCATCACAAGCAAACGACTGGATGCCATTTGCGAGTTCAGAGACTTGTGGAGGTCTCCGCCTCCATCACCAACAAAAAGGGTCAGCGTGCCTTGCAACTCGGACGGGGAGTGGTTTTCGCTGGGTGCATTCTTTCTTGGGTTGCTATAGGGGAGCTGATGTGCCTTTCGTTTGTTGATCGGGGAGGGCATCTGGAGGGAGCTGGATTCGGCACGATCTTTAAAATCGAGACGAGCCGAAGAGCAAGCTCTTCTTGGAAATGGACAAAGCATCATTTGGTGATATCTGCAAAACACGATGCTCATGTACTTGGTTCTTTGTGGCTTTAGCTTTCAGCCGTTTGTTTGGTTCTGCAGGATTTCGAGGCATCTCAGCTCCCATGTCTCCCATTTCTGGTTCTCATTGATCTCCGGTGTAAGAAGTGGACCATTGCGGGTCAAACAGGAGGTGAACCGCCTGTTTCCACGGGAACCGGTCCGCAAGACTCACCCGAACCGGACCGGGCGACCCGGGATGCCGGACCGGGGAAGCGAAAACGGTGACCGGTGCGTTCGGGGATCGTTTTGGGAACGACTCCACCAGGCTCAAGCGAGCCACCCCTGACACAAACGAGCCCCAGAGCCCCAGAGCCCGGAGAGGTAGGGGAAAACCGAGCGGGTGGTTTTCAGAGCCCTGAAGAGGGGAAAACCGCTTCGCAACTGAGTCTTGTTGACTTGGGCGGACCCACATTCCGGAGTCCACCGGGCCATGGCCAGGTGGCTTTGAGTTCGTCAACAGCGTCTTTGATCACAGTACAAAGACTCAGGATGTTTTGACCCACACATCTCTATAGATGACCCCAGGAGTCCACACCCTGGATCTCAGGTACTACGACATGGACCTCCATTGTGCTTGGCTGGGCAAATCTGCTGGGAGCCTCGACCAAGCCAAGGGTCATTACTGTCCGTGCATCAAGTCTTCAAGCCAAGCAGCGTGGTCATCATCATCAATGTCTACATACCCTGAGCGTCCAGTCATGACGAAAATGAACTACCCCAGCCTGGTACCAGCTGGAGTAGTTCATGAGTCAAAACGGAAGTTCTGGGACAGTGGCAGCATGCCAATCCCAAGCCACGCCGAGTTGAAACCGCTGACGCTTTTGGACCAAATGACGTCTGACCGCTCCTGGACTCTGACAACGCAAAGTGAGCGATGACCTTGTCATAACGACTCGAAGCACAAGAGGATCGTGTAACCATGTGCAGGGTAACATCCATTTGAGAAGCATTGAGAAGCATTGAGTACTACACATTGGTCTATAAAAGATCAACCATACGGTGAACATGCACCAGATAGGTTATGGACGTCTGCAGTGTGCCCGTGAGGACAGGGCAAAAAGGTGCTCCATTTGGAGTATACAAGGGAAGCCCCGTTCGTAGCGTCCTTGCTCCGTTCGTAGCGATGCCAGGAGCCCCGCTCGTAGCGTAGATTCCATGCCCTCCAACCATTCGTTGTTGCTGGTGTCGTAGATTTGTTCAATATTGGGGATCTGCTGGCTGGCTGTCGCTAGCGGTGAATGGGTGCGACCTTTTGGGCATGGATGTGCTTTCCCATCCACCGGCCATCCCAGGAATGAGATGAAAGGCCTGATCAGAGCTCGGCTGCCCAGCACCAAGGGTTTTCTTCTGGCTCATGGCACAGGGTGGAGGAGTGGAGCTCATGACTCTCCAACCAGGAAGGTTCAAAAGGAGATGACGTCGACCATGAGAGTCCCTTTCCGCAAGGGAACCGATCTTGTAACCCGGCCGTGAGGGTTGCATGGATGAGCACTGATTTTTGAAGACTGAAGCACTCTATAGTCTACAGCACCACTCTATAGGTGACTCTCTTCATCATAACAGCTCCTATTTCGACCCCATCGCTGCCGATCGACCCCATCGCTTCGTGGAGGTCTACAACATCGCCCACGACACCAAGTTCGAACTGGGCGGCGACGAGCCCCTTGGCTGCGACGAGCCGCGAGAGAACGCGAAACGCGCCGAGACGAAGCGCCGCGCCGCAGCGCCGCGGCGAACGCTTCGCGGCCGGGCGGGAATGCTTTGGGGGCCCAAATGGACCGTGCTGTTCGAGCGTCGTGGGGTGTTCGAGCGGTTGGAAGAGTGTCAAAAAGGTAAAAGTACAAGGAGACCCAGAAGCCTCTAGCACAGAAACACTAAGACCCACTTCTCGATTGGACAAGCGCCGCTTTCCATTGGACAAGACTCAAGGAGACCCAGAACTCTGCGGTCTCATCAGGTTGGATTTGCCCAAGTGAGCAGCATCTGAGCGAAATCTGATTGAGGTCGACATGGAGAAGAAAAATGGCATCCGTTGAAGGACGTTGGACAGGCACACCTCAGAACATGTACAACAGTCAGTCATTGTGTTCTCTCCTAAAAATCCCTTCCATTCAAATCTGTACAGATCTCATCCAGCCGAAAGGGCTGTATGAAGTCGTGGCAGAGTGCTCTGAAAGCTTCGGCCAACTGGCGCAGATACCCCTACCAGTCCAGTCGGATCAAGTAAAGCCTGGTCTGACCTCTTTGAGTCGTTTACATTGGACCCTGCAGTTTCCATGAGGTCTGTAATATCAGGAGATGTGCTGAACGTTCTCAGGAACACCTCCTACATGTACCAGCTGGGCTGGGATCAACGCGTGTGTCTTGGCACCACCCATGCTGTCAGCCGGTCGGTCTGGACCTGTGAGGGCATTGTGGCAACCGTTTCGCCATGTTTCGCGGTGAGGGTGGGAGAATCCGACGCCTTGCACCGGTGCGGGGCGAGGCGTTTTCATTTTTGCGAGGCAGATCTGAGATCTGAGAGATTTGATATATTTGGGCCTTTAGGGATCTCCATGGGGTATTCATGAGCCATGAAAACGCGGCTAAAGACGCCTCACGCCCCACGCCCCACGCCCCGGGTCACTGCCCTCAGGTTTTTGTTGGCTCCTGCGCTGAGGTGCCATCAAAGGATTGGAGGCCAAATTCAGCAGGTCAACACCAAGAAACAAGTCTCACTGGTCATCACAGCCCCAGATTAGATGGTGCTCCCAGTCATCCTCCCCTCACCGCCGACCGTCCATCTCCAGCGTGTCCACACGTGTCTTCCACCGCATGGGTCACCGACACATCAGTCCGGAGAGGTTCAGGGACGTGTTTGCTCCACGCGCGGTCGGTGTGACATGGGACGCGGTGGGACGTGTTCTTCGTGTTCTTCGAACTGGTCACGGAAGTGGATGGCACGTTTGGTTGTCGGTACAAATGGTGCCGTCCAGTTCCGGGTGCCATCTGAACCATGAGGAGCTCAAGGAGTGTATACCAGGACCATCCTGTCTGTGTCGGACTACCCAGCCCACTACTTAGGGATCTCCAGCCAGGACACCCAAGTTCGGATGGTGGAGGGCTTTGATTCTCGAAAGTTTGACCTTCAAAGACAATGAAAAGAATGGTTGACTTGATGGTGTAGTCTAAAAATCCTTAGCAGAACAATATGGTTCTTTGGTTATATATAATAGAGATACCATGGTTCTAAGCCGATGCTTTCTTCCAATTCATTTTTCACCACGAGCGTCCCGAGGTCGGGCTCCTGGGCTGAGGCGCTGAAAACGGAGGCTGCGGAGCTCTTTGATCTCGTTGCTCTCAAGGCTCGGCGTGGAGGACGGACCGATACGGACGGACGGACGGACAGAAGGAGTCGCCTGGTGGAGCGTATCTGGGAGGGTTCTAGATAAAAGGTCAGAACATACACAACACCAATTAAGAAAGAACAGGTAACTGTTTTGGGATCGATTCATATTCAATTCTATCTACTTCTCCGGCAGATTTTACATTTCTCCGGCAGACACCAGGAGGCCATGGGGCTTCGAGGCGGTTCGATCTGGGGGTTTTCCTGCTGAGTTGTGGCACATCAACCTGCTTCAAAAGACTATACCTAGAGAGGTTGAATAGCTCAAAGAGCACACCCTTTTTCCCAGACCCTTTAAGGTCTCAAAAAACATCTCTTGGTATCGCCAGACAGGACTACAGTAGTATCACTTCATGGCCATACCACTCGGCATTGCGAACCTTTTTCCTCCAGGTGGACCGTGTCATCAAGGAGTTGCGCGCGAAGTGAGCGAAAAAAGGCGCCCTAAAGGGGAGCCACGCAGCATCGGGTGGATTTGCTTCCATGAAACCAGACCTGACCTGGTGAGTTAGGACTTTGAGGACCTGGTAAGATCACTGTCAAGACCTAAGGAGTTACCAGACCTGGTAAGAGTGACTTTTACCGAAATCCTTTGCAGATCACTGGTTTTGTAGTATATGTTTTCCTTTGCAGATCTACGGGGCTGGGCTGCAGCTTCGGGGGGCTGGGTATGGTCGAACGAAGCACCGTCTTTCACCGCTTTGGATTTCGGCCGCCGCTTTGGGCATGAAGTGGTCTGAGATAGGTATGAAGATGTATGACGTGTTTGGATCTTCCGGTTTCCATGGCGATCGTTTTCTTCCCATTTTGGTGAGCTTCCCGAGTGCATTGCTTTGGCTGTCTGGTTTCAGTCGATCCCCCAGACTCCCAGTGGGCGCGTCCGGGCCTTGGCCGGTGGCCGGCTTCGTCCGAGCCGAAGCGTCGACAGTCGCCCAAACGTCGTGGTCTTCGTAGCGACCGTTGTCGGCCTTCGACCTGGTCTGAAACGAGCCACCAAAAAGACCCTCTTTGCGCAGCAAGCATGTGCTGACAGGGAAGATGAAGGCGAAAACGAAAAAGAGACTTGATACGTCATAGAATCGTCAGCATGCCGTGTTCGGCCGTGTTCGGCCACAGCAAGGACACCTGTCAGCAGCATTGGCTCTACCCGGATGAGTGGACAGGTATGTCAAGATCTCTGGCCCTTTCTGGGGCTGCTTTGTATATCTACCACGGAAGAGTGAGAAACATAAACCCTCTCCAAAGTGCAGATAGTGCCGTGAATGAGACGGGTGAGACTCATCTTCGTCAAATAGATAGACAATGATAGACATCTTCGTCATGGAGTGCCACATGACATCGAACATTCCAATGCCGTTGACACCGAAAGAGCTAAACTATAAGCGAGTGGAGTCAAAAAAACTTTACCTTTGGTCACCTTGGTCTGGGGGGGGGCCTATCACCGGATGGGGCTACAAAGACATGTTCAACCAAGCACCTTGGGGCCTAGAGAATTCACAGCATGCGCTTTCCAGCGCGAAGCTGGAAAAGCGTACGCAGCTGCGCCTTCGTCGGCTTCTCCTTTGGAGTCCTCCTGTGGCCACAGGTGGAAAGTCCGGGGTGGTGTGGGTTGGAAGACTGTGGCCTCGGCCCTCCTGCAAGAAAGTGGCCTCGGCCCCGAAACGGATCCCCTCAACGGATGAGCTCCGAACCCACCTTTCGGAGTCTTCAATAGCTCCGGACCTTTTGGGGGCCAAGGAGCCGTTGGTGTCCCGACCTTGTGGGGGGAAGGGGCCCGCCCTGCGTGGCGCTAATCGCCACGCGAAGGCTCCGAGGAGCGAATCCTGGCATCGCGACTCGAACGGTTCGCGTTCGGATGCTACGAACGAATGGTTCCGTTCGGGCCTTACTACGAACGGAACAAGAAGCGTCAATCTTCCCTCGCGTAATGGAAGGATCATCCAATAAACCACATTGAAGTACCTGCGTGCTGGTCGACCATCTGGTCTTAACAACTTGTCCATGGTCTCGATGAACAATTTGCATTGGACTAGTGTAGCTGGTGTAGCTGGTGACTAGTGGGGCTGATTTGATCTACGGACACCGAGTTGTTCCATGTCGGGGGGTATTGAACAGAGGTTCCACAAGGCTATGTACCTGGTGCATCCTTTGTGGTGGCTTTGTGTGCAACAACCGGCTCCAGCTTTCAACGACTGCTCTTCCCAGGTCAGTTGGGTTTTTCAGATGACACCCAGTGACTCCGAAGTTGGACGAGGCGATGCGTTCCTTCTCCTCAGCCTCTTCCCACATCGAAGGTCCGAACCGATCCACCCGACCTGGAACCGGGACTCCGGTTCCCGACTCCAGGTCCGACTCATGGCCAGCCAGGCGGGAACCGGAAACCCGTGCGGGTGCGTGCGTTGGGGGGGGGAAACCACCGAGGAATGGGATGGGTGGGTGGGTGGAATGGAAATGAAGATTGGGGTGACTCAGAACTCACTCCAAAGACTCTGAAGTAGTGACAAGTTGAGTGAACTGATTTGTGACAGACTTGAAGGACTTTTAGTCGTTTTAGTACCAGTGTTTTTCGAAATCATTTTACTCCAATCGGATGTTGAGAAGGACATCGAGATGGTTGGGACGCACATGCTGCCACTTCGTGGACGCCTTTTTTTTCCCGGCAGATGGGGGCGCTAGCTTTGCGGTCCCTAGTCAGGTTGTGTTGCTCCTTACCAAAGATAACCAAAGGTAAGGGATTCCCTCGGGTTCCCTGAAGAAGTCACATGCCGCTGAGGCTCAGGAAGAAAAACGATGATGTTTCTTTGGGAGATCCGCTCCACATGTTGCCTCCTCATGGCTGAGAAAGATAGCCACATGGTCTACTAGCAAGCAGAATCCATCAAAGCACCGGGTTGAGATTCGTGAAATGACCTGAAATCACTCCAAAAGCAGGCTGTGGGTCAACACCAGGAGACCGACCGATTGACCACCGGAATGAACAAAATGAGTGTTGGGAGAATTTTTCGATCAACTTCAGTGGAAAGTTCATCATGATGCGGTTACTTCCTATGTTGAGCTTGCGGTATTATTCTATTTGAAGGGTTTTCGTTTGCCTGAACATGATCCTGATCAACATACTTTTCGTGACTTGACAGGTGAAATACGGCAATTTGTTGCACACGCGAGATCCCTCTCGGATAAAGTCCTTCCAGGTGTTCACAACAGGCACCGCAACAAGAGCATCGGTAAGTCGCTACCAAATGGCACCATCGATGGTGCAGAGGTTCTTTTCTGCAGGGAAGAGAAGATCCGCTTTGCTCGGATTTTGTCTGGTGTGTCGACAGCGAAGCTAGCTGCTTGGGAGTTCACGTTTGGCAGTGCGGAGTCATAATTAGTTTCCTCATGTGGACCTCTCACATGTGTTTGGGTGCGTGGCAGAATGCCATGTAAACCAGTCGTGACCGCATCGACGCGTCGGGAAGAACAGAATGGACTAAGGAGGCGACTCTGGTTTTGACCCACATCCATTTGGGGTACTCTTTCTCTCTCGACACATCCGACTTCAGAAGCAGGGAGGTCGGCTTTCCAGTTCTGTGAAAGGATGAAAGGAGTAGTAGCAAGAAGCTAGTAGTAGCGTGTAGTAGCTATTTGCTACTAGTAGCGATGAGCGCATCGCACTTGTTAAACCATCTCCGGTCCTGCCGACTTCGGGACTTTGTCGCAGACCGTCTGCTGGTCGCGCGCGGCTCCGCGAGCAGCACGTCTCGCGCGGCTCCTGTCACCATGAGTCGTGAGGGAGCGGGGGACACCCCGTCCTTTCAAAGGCAGAAGCTTTTGGGTTGGAAGATCGATCGGACCTGACAACGACGCACGTGGTCCCGGTCTCCGACGCCGACTTCGACCAGGAAAACCGAACCTTGGAGACCGGGTTTTTGTTTGCGAAAAAGAGGTTGGGAGACTTCTTGTTGGTGTCCCAGAACACCAAGTGGTGTTCAGGTGGGTGGACATTCCATCTCAAATGACACTCCCAATGATCAAGCATTGAAGTGGAGTTCAACCACTCGTTTTTTTCCGGAATTCACGGTATACCGGTCTTTCAGGGAATGTCTTCGAAAAGAAGGGGGGCCCTGCACTGCCATGCCAGTTGCCATGCCCATCCACGGTCCACCATGCGCATGTGGCGTGGCGTGTGCATATGGTCATTATGGTCTTTGCCGTGCCTTTCGGTGGATGGTTCAAGCCCCGGGTCCCACGAGCTTCTTCCGCGTTTGCTTCTCTCTTTCGTCGGAGTGCCCGTTCCGAAGAGGCGCACGGGGCAAAGCAAAATCACTGGTATAGAGCCATTGGAGGCAAGCGCATATGGACCGAGTGAAGCGATATGATAGAAAATTTTCTGCATTCAGTGGCCCTACAGCCTTCAAAAGTCTTTATGGCCAACGAACGAACTTTTGCGATGCCGCTTGGAATCGAAGGAGGTCATCTAGAAGCTGCAACTCGAGTGCTTGAGCCGTAGCGTTGGACCATACCGTGAGTGCTTTGCAAACACATTCCATTGCTGTAGCGTCTAGCTAGTCCTTGGTCTTGATTCTACACAAACGCCCAGGGCTCAAGCACTAAAGCACGAGACGCGAGACCAAAGACTCCTTTCTGAGACGTCAGTTTCTTAAAAGAAGCGCTTGCCCTCTGATGTGCTGTTTCGCGGCCCGACGTTAGCGTGCCACAAGCTGGGTCACACACTCTTCCGACCAACCTTGTGGACCGGGTGGCCACTAAGACCCCAGGGTGGCGGCTACGGTGCTCGGACAATGCCCACGTGCGGAGTCTATCTGGTGGCGCGGCGGCATTTTCTTCGCACCCTTGCGCACCCTTGGAGGCGTTGAGGCAGCAGTTCACCACGAAGCACTTTGCAGAACACAGAAAATACTGAAGATGAACGCAAATAATCTGTGTGTTCCCACCCCTCTTCTTGAAGTATGCCAACTTGCCGTTGTAGTTTCATCTTCGGCCTTGCAACTTGAGACGGGCCTCAAAGTGGAGCAGTTCCAAATCCAGTTTGAGCGGGATTATTCATTTATCCTTTGGTATGGCGGCTCCTGGACAAGCCAAAAGAAACATTTCAATGCAATGCAACGGTACCATACGTGAAAGGTAAGAAACGGGTTTCCCTCCACAAAGTCAACTTTGCTGCCACCTGGTATGTTGGAAGTTTCAATTTTTTGCTCCGAACCCCCAATCGCCCCTATGTTGCTACCGACCTTGGCAGCTCCCCCAAGAAGATGACCCTGACTCGGAACACAAGAAAGGCCGATTGGTGCCTTACTTTCTACCCGCCCCGCCCATCCCTGCCCCGCGAGGTCACTGGTGCTACAGATGGTGCCTCAGCGAAGGTTTTGGCAATCAAACTCTGGTTGCATTTTTGAACAAATCCTAAATCCTCAAGAGAAGGTGAACATCTGGGGCGCCTTGTGGGCAGAGATTTGTGGACAGACAAGGGCAGTGGGAATCGGGCAGTGGGAATCCAGGATTCAACTTTTTTGAACCAAATCCATCATATCGTATCCTTGGTTTTGTTTAGGATGTCATTGTCGTGTCTTTGTCGACCCTCACTCATATCCTCATCCCCATTCATCCTCATCGACATCCACATGCTCACCACATTTTTATCCGGATCCATCCTCATTCTCATCTCCATCCTTCTCTTCCTTCCTGCTGCTCCTGATCCATTTTCCATCCTTTCCTGTTCATCATCACCTATGTTGATTGACATTCTCCTGAAAAACCTCATCCCTGCCTTCAGCCACTGGCTTCCCCATGCATCTTCACTGTCACCCATTCTAACTCTGACCAGAAATAGATGTGTGACCCAGTGCATAACTTACCTTGAGCGCTTCTCTCAAAAGTTCAAAAGGTACAGTACCAATCCTGACCCATCGTCATCCTGATCCCCGTCTACCTCCTCACTTGCATCACTTTCATCCGCATTTTCTTCTTTAGACGGCAGAAGATTTTGTCCCTCTCCCAATCTTGGCTTTCGCTCACCCCTTTAAGAGTTGGCCTTGTGCAGTGAACGTTCAGGGGCACCAACACCACATTCTTAGCCATCCTCGGGGCTTCACTAGGCTCTTCTACTTTCGCTTGGTCTCAACGACGAAGGTTAGCGTGGTAGATCCTGTATTCTTCGGGGTCCGAGCTTGGCTGTTCCCTTCAGAGTCCCGAAACGACCCACAAATGGGTCTTTACCACCCCAATGGGTTGGGCTACCCACTTGCCATCACTTGCCGCTTTCGAAGCCGGAGCGTTCTGCCGCACTTGAGGCATTGGCCGCTACACTGCGGAGCTCTTGGTCAAGCAGCGCCATGTGGTGCTTGTTCATGGCCGCTCTGTGCAGCGTGTGAAGGACACCGTGGCGCGCTTGGAGCGCTTGGGCGGCGAAGCGCATGGTGCCGTGGCGGAACATGGCGCACTTTGTGCGGGCAAGTGGTGAAGACACCAGGACGAAGGTGGTGGTGGTTGTGGTGGTGGTGGTGGTGTCACTTCTATCCGAGGTCACTGGCTGACCTTCCAGTCAAGTGCTACAAACAATTTGGAACTCCTGCTACCGGAGAAGGTTCTTGGATGGGTTGGTGCCTCAAACCAAGCCGGTTGGCACTGAAGGTTGGGCGGAGGAAAAATGCAAGAAAAACATCTATAACACGGTGCAGATAGCTCCATAAGGTTGTGTGGAGACGGCGTGAAGTCATCTCTCTAATTCGCATGAGAGAAAAAAGCGACGTTGGATTGTGTGGAGGGAGGCGTCAGCATACCAGTAACAACCAACAAAGATCAAAATCATATAGCGTCGCCTTTTCCAGAGGTAGAACCCTTAAGCCTTAAGCACCTGGCGTGAAGGCGTCTTTTGTGCCAGTTGGGGTGGATTCAGAGATGGGCGGGACGGTCTTGAACCCAACGAGCTCCGAACTTGGAACCCAACAGTTTTTGGAACTTGGTCAAGTACCAGGACCCTCCAACAGGCTGTTAGTTGAGGGTTGGACCCTAACAGGTCTCAATTGGTGACCTGTCGGAGGGTCCTGGTAACTGATTCCCAACTGTCCTTTTTTCTTTCCAAACACGTCTCCTCCCATTACTCAGCGAGTTCGCTGAGGCTTTGTGGCAGATCTCAGCTTAATGTCCGACGTGCGGAAGTTGGCGCAAGAGGTCTCTGAGAAGTGGCTCAGCCAAAGCAGTTTCCTTTTTGATGTGGACACTTGACATGTTGGGCAGGGCCTGCTGGGGGCATGGGAGCAACGGGGCCCGGTGGTGCAGTCCGCAGCTGCAAACCAGCTTCTTCGTGATATTCTGGGAGAAAATGCTGGTTTGCGGCTGCGATGGGGGTCAGCATAGATCTAGATCTTGGACGGCAAATATGCCGGTTTTGTCCGTCTACGTTGGTGACTCCTCTCAGCAAAGGAAGGCCCTTCTTGGAGGGTCCTGAAAGAACTTGGCCTCCAAAGAATTGACGCTCACTTTCGCATACCGACGAGGATCATGGAACCAACCGACCCTGCTTGGTTGGTCTCCAAACAAGTTTCGCTGCCAGATAACTGATAACTCTGACGTAGTTTCGCTGATGTGTTTCTCACCGTGGCATCGATTGTTTGTGTTCATTTGGTGAAGAAGAGCCGAAAAGGATGCGTACCATGTAAGAAGGTGGGAACAAGGCCAGGGTTTTTCATTTCTTTGCTCACACTGGTGTGAGGTCGAGGTGCAGATGCCAAGTTTCCAGCCGTTTGTTTCGTGTGTATTAAAAAACACGTCACCAGGCTCCAGGTTTTGCTTGGCTGGGCGAAAGCCGGAGCTACTCTTCTGGACCCGGAGCTATCATGCGGTGAAAGGAACAGACATGCCAGGCTTCCGGGCCCCAGAGTTGGGCCGGATAGGCGTGGATTTTTCGATGCTCCAAATGGGGAGCCCTCTAGGGTGAAGTGTGCGCCAGGTTCCCCGTGCTCCACGGTCTCCTCAACAATGCTGGAACCTTTGATGGCGATTACACGGGCAAACGCCTCCTGGCCACATGGAGGGAAGCCATGATGAGAATTCCCACGAGTAGGGACTCGGACGACTGGGGACGACGATGTGCCGAGCAACGCGGTTCTTGGCAATGCTCAAACATCGTTGAGAGATGTCCTGTCGTTGTGGTGGCTTGCTTCTAGCCCCCCTCAAAGATCTTCCAACTGTGCATATTGTCTGCCTTTTGGTTGGTTTTTATACATGAAAATTGCATACATTTTGCATAGTTGAGAGATCTAGGATGATCTAGGTATATATAAATATGCCGCTGGTGTCTCAAACAAAGACCTGTTTGTAAAATGACCGTGGGTCAAAGACCGGGGTACCTTGGTTGACCACAGAAAATGAACAGAATGGCCTATCTTGGAAGTCCACCTAAGCGGGTTTGGGGCTACTGGTTTTGACCCACAGCCATATATACTGCTGATGTCTTTCCCTTCATTTTCTTCTTTCCTTTTCGATTTCGACACACGAAATCCTTCACACTGCCGCAGCAGCCCTCTCACTGCTCGGCCTCCAGAAAAAGAATCAACGCCCCCCCCACTGGAGACGTCGGGTGACGTCCTTCCAGACACCCCGTTTCTTCCGTTTCGCGCCGTAGACAGACACCGTGTCTACACCCACCATGGACACCGTCCAATCCTTTTCGCTCCATGGCGCAGACCCTTGGCGAATCGAAGGACGCACCGTTCTTTGGAAAAGACCATTCGGTTCTGCCCCAGAACACCCTGCCGTCCCCCCCAAAGAAAACATGTGACACCACGTGGACGACATAGCAGTGACACAACAGGTGTGGTCACCTCTGAGGGCAATGAGTACAGCTTGGCAGTGACCCTTGGCAGAACAGTAGGGCCCTAGCTGATGAGCTTTTAAGGATATCTAATGAATGAAACTCCAATAGACTTTGTGCCGATCTCCCACTTTCCCAATCCCAGACATGCCTACACATTGGGGTGGTTTTGGGGGTCAATTGATCGGCATATACGGCAGTCCCCATTCGTCGTGTCTGGGAATCTTTCCCATGAGATCGTGATCATCGCCGAATCAGCTCGTGAAAACGACTCGTGTGCGATTCGTCGCACACGCAGACGAATCGTCTGTGGGGACATGGTTGGATGCAGAACTGCAGACCTTGAGGTTTGGAGGGCAACTGGTTCAACGCTAAAAGCGAGGGCTTTCTCAACCGGTCAGGTTGCATGGCAAGGAGAATAGGCGGCCATGCCTCAGGTTTCTTCTCGATCTTCTAAAGTCTAACACACCTGCTATCACCAATGAAATCCAGTTTTTCATGGAACAGCTTGTGCTTGTAGACACTCCCTGCAGACGAGCTCTCTTTTTTCCGATGTCCCTTCCATGGCTCCAAGATTCTTCGATTCTCCACGAAGCATTTCCCCTCCGGGCGTGTCTCTGTTGCTTCACTGTGTACTCCCTTCACTGCGCCTCTTGACCTCGTCGTCGTCCTCTTGTCCTCAAGACTTGCTTCGAGGTTGACCCCGGATCGGCTTTGGGTCAGGTGAAAGGTCGGTGACACAGAGGGCTTTTTGGGTTCCGCGGGCGCGACGACGGACGGTTCCGGCGGCAGTTTCACCGGTAGTTTCACCGCCACCGGTCATGAGAACTGCGCGTTTTTCGAGGAACGTGATGGCGCCCTTCTTGCTGAGCTCCTTGCTGATGCCCACGCTGAAGTCTTCGGGCTCCGGCCGGGCGAAGCAAAACGGGCTAACAGCGGGGCGAAGCGGGTGGTTTGGTGGTTTCGTCGTCCGACTGGAGCGATGTGATAAGGGAAGATGCGGCAAAACAACCTCAATGCAGACTCATCCATGAATAACTCCCCAAGCCCTGAATTGGATTGATATGGGGGTTCATTAATTAAGACTCTATATATGTAGATATAACTTATATAGATCGATATCTGAGGATGGGTCGTTCAATACCATGTCCGCCCGACCAGTCCACCCTGTGCCCGGTCGGTCCACCGGTCGGTCTGGTGCGAATGTCCAATGACTCAATGAACTACTCCACCTGGTAGTCATCATCTGCCACGACCAGGCCGGCGAAGTTCGTGAGCCGAAGTGTTTTCCCCCCTGCAGATTCCTGTACATGCCGATACCCCATGCGTTTTTGGACACCCCGAAACCCCCTGGGAACGTGAGAATCATTGAAGTGCAAATCCATTACAACCCGCTGCTCTCTGTCCGGAACCTATCACCGAAATCTTTGGGCCGTCGAAGGGTTGCCAAGCGAGGAGTTTCTGAAGGCATCAGAGATGCCCCGAGATAAAGCGGTCTTGATGAGAACTGTGCAGGACCATTTCGCCAACTTCCCCAACCACCCGTCACCAGGCTTCGTTCACTCCGTGAACCGCAGTGACCACCAGCTGCGGATCGACCCGCGCGACCGGTGACTGGTCAGGTCGATTGATCGTCACAGCATCGATGTCTGCGGGTTATCATCAAGGACAACGAGTCGGTCAGGTCGGTGATCAACGGGTCGAGAGCTCCTTGCGTTGCAGGTGGTCAGGTCTTGGTCGTTGGAAGGAACCATTATATAACATTCCAGGTATATCCAGGTGTCCATATTTTGTAGGATTACTGGCTCACCATTGGTTCAAGGGCCTGACTCCCAAAGATTGGTTTTACTCAGGATTCCGCACTACGAAGCCAGGTCTTTCCCTTTCTTCTCATGTGTCCGAAGGCCAAAGGTCGTTGACCTTCACAGGATTTCGATTTTGGCACCCAGCGGACAAGCCGGCACAATTGTAGTGATAAACGATAGTGAATGGGATCCCCGCCTGAGGCATTTGATCTTTCAAATCACCCCAATAGAGCTAGAAAACAGCTATTCCCCACGTCATCTTTGTGTGTGGAGATCTGACCCTTACGGTGCATCCCGTTGGCCGCCCGCCTCCCACCTCCCCCTGGATCTCACTCCTTCCCTTCCTCGTGCACTTAAACGGCCCACAGGCCTCCTTCCAAAAAGGCCGCCCTGGCTCAAGTGTCATTTTCTGCTCGCCTTTCTGCTCCCTCCAACATGGGTGGTATGTATGTTGACCAGCCCGGTGGCTCGACATATGCTGGGATCAGTGATCCAACGTGGTTTCGCGGCCAGCAGGACTCAAGGACTTGCAGCTGGAACAAGGTGCCATGCGGGGCATGTATTGAACCGCTTTTCATTTGGTGTGTGGGGTGGAGTTGGGAACGACGAAGCGGAAGGATTTGGGTCATTTCCGATATAGCTGTATATGTTTATGTCTATATACCTGGTTCTTCTGAACTCGTGACCGAAGGACTGATCCTGATCCCGTGGTGGAACGTCACGGGGGTCGGCCCTGGTTGGTTCGGTCACAAACGATGCGACTCCAATGATCGTTTGAACCGGTCATAGATGCCCAAGTTCGAGAATCGACGGACGTCGGCTTGCCAGGCTACTCAGCTCACCATGCATACAGCCTCAGCAAGCTTTGCGATATCATGCCACTGGGAACTGATCCATGTGGAGGAAAAGACTCTGTCACAGAGCATCAGATGTAGCCCAAACACCCTAGATCTTCCAATTATGTAACATGTGCGCCTTTTCATTCACAAAAACCATATCATCAACATTTCTGTGGGGAGATTTCTCGGATTAAACCTCCCATGTTTCTCCGGTCACCATGTGGCCAACTCCCACGGCTGCCGCTTCGACCGACGAGAAACAGCTGTTGATGCGGATTTGCTCCGACCCGACGACGCTCCTTCGGCCGTCAGACGATCCAGGCGATGCGTTGATGCGAACAATGCACACTCAGAACTTGGACGACGCTTTTGATGTGGAAAATCAGTACTCTCAGAGGAAACCACCTGTAAAGGTCTGGAAACCGCAAAACCGGCCGTTCTTCCTGTTTGGGGGGTTCGACGGTTTCAGCTCAACCAAATGCGTTGAACGTTCGATCCTTGGACCAATGACCGCCGATGCCATTTCAGGATGGTGAAAGAGCGCCTTGGCCGCACACACCGGGGCTCGGATGGGCCGGTGAAAGCGGTGGAGTTCGGATGGCGATGTTCGTTGCAGTTTTGGACGAGCTTCGGTTTGGTACCCGACAAAGGAGGAACATATCGCGTGGACGTGGAGTTCGCTAGCTGTTTGTAGATTGCAATGTGAGTGAGAGCGTGTTTGGGCAATACTCTTGATGACTCCTTGAGGTTTGAGAGTTGGAAGGGTCTTTCGGACCCATCGACGAACAGGTTCTCTAGAAGGATCTCTCATTGGCTGCGCATGGAAGGAAAAACACTACGATTTTTTTCAGCCCCCCATGCGATTCTGCGATCCCAACGTTCAATGTGACACAATGCGCCGTCACGTTGCAAGGATTCCCAAGTTTCCACTTGTCCGGCTGCGTCGTAAAACCTTTTTCCTCATCTCTGCTCATCTCAGCGGCAGCGGTGGATTTTCCACCTGGCTCCGGGTCGGAGCATTTTTCGAAGCATCGCTTCGTCGTCTGGCGGTTTTCGTCACAAATCCACAGAATGACCAGGACCCAGTGCCGGGGTGGTTAATGGACACCCCAAACAAGGGGGCCCTGGTTTTCTTCGGTTTCGCGGACATCAAGGGTTCTCTTCCACACTTTGGCCTTTTTTGGAGTCCTAGTAATCGACTGTGGACAGAAACCACAGGCCCATGGTGGGCAAGAATGATGGAACCCTAGGGCTCCAACTACCTCCGTTTCGAAGATGGTTGGGATGGGTGCCAGGGCGTCTAACCAGCTTCTGAGGATATGGTTGGAATATTACTATTACTGTCAGGGAAGATGGGTTATGAGAGCCCCTAGCCATGGGGCTTTCATGTTAGCAATCTGGAGCCCCTTTTCCAACCCGCACGGGTCACTTCCGCTTAGGGAGTAGCAACTCTCATTCGTTTTCTGGTGCGGAGATGAGTGGTGACGAGATTCCGAGACGTCCACCAGAGAGGCACAAGAGCCTAAGAGGTGAAGGTGCAGTTTCCCACGGCGCGGTCGGCGCTTCGGACCCCCCCAGGATGGACCGTCGCTATGGTTCCCCACCACAGCTCTGCATCCACACGCCACTGGGACCGGTGGGGTCGAGCCGGTTCACTCCCCGTCGTCTGGTCTGTGGGAAGAATGGGAGGATAGGACGATGGAGGAGGAGGAAGAGAACTTGTCGACATGTGTACCAGCAGTCACATAGAGTTGGGTGGTGTTTAGTCCCATCCAGTGAGTGGATAATGGCATTCATTATCGGATAATGGGCACCCCTAACCTCCATGGATAGCACCCCTTTGTCACTGCTGGTATTGAATATATAATACTATGGAGGGGTATTTATTTTTGCATTTTGTCTTGGTTTCTTTTTTGGTTTTTTTTTGTTTTTCGTGGCTTCTGGCTTCTGGCTTCTGTGGCTTCTGGCTTTTGTGGCTTTTGGCTTCTGTGGCTTCTGGCTTTTGTGGCTTTTGGCTTTCGTGGCTTTCGTGGCTTCTGTGGCTTTTGGCTTTTGTGGCTTTTGGCTTTTTGGCCTATCCATCTGTCTGTCTATACCTATCTATTTATCTATCTATATATCTTTCTTTTGGCAGCTGTTCTCCTTTCTCTTTTTGTATTTGCTTTTCCTGTTGTTTTCGTTGCAGAGACGAAACCAAACAAGGAAGCAAGCAAGCAAGCAAGCAAGCACGAGCTGCTCACCTTTGGATCTGGTGTGCTGCTGGGGGGGGCGCTGCGACCCCCCCAACCCCCCCCGCGCCACGAAATCTGCACTTCATCCCCGACACCCGCGCCTGCCACGAAATCAATATTTTAAGGTGAACTCCCCGTTGCAAAACTTTCTAACCAAGCAAATATGCCTCCTCTATCTATCTATCTATCTCTACATCTATATCTATCTATATCTATCTATATCTATCTATCTATCTATCTTTCTTTCTTTCTTTCTTTCTTTCTTATCTTATCTAATCTAATCTAATCAAATCTAATCTAATCTAATCTAATCTAATCTATCTATCTATCAATTTATCTTTCTATCTTTCTGCAGTTCAACATCCACAAAGTACTGCACCTGCCACGAAATCTGCACTTCAAGGTCCACAAAGTCTTGCGCCTGCCACGAAATCTGCACTCCAAGGCCCACAAAGTCCTGCACCTGCCACCAACTCTACACTTCCACACCCACAAAGTCCTGCATCTGCCACGAAATCTGCACTTCAAGGTCCACAAAGTCCTGCGCCTGCCACAAAATCTGCACTCCAAGGGCCACAAAGTACTACCCCTGCCACGAAATCTGCACTTCAAGGCCCACAAAAAGTCCTGCGCCTGCCACAAACTCTGCACTCCAAGGCCCACAAAGTCCTGCACCTGCCACGAAATGTGCTTTGCAAGGTCCACAAAGTACTGCACCTGCCACGAAACACGAAAAACAAAAAGATTAAAAAAAATAACGAAAAAATCCAGAAATAAATTCGCAACCTAATAACTATTATGACAAGGTAATCCTTGTTGGGGTTCGTTGATGTACTTCTGGCTCCAGTTTCTTCTCAAGTTGACCATTTTTACAAAGGATATTTTTGGGATGAGCAGCTACCAGTTTTGGGTTTTCTAGTTTCCCTTGAGAAGAGGACGAGCACATCGTGAACACAGGTGCTCTCAAAGCATCCAAGTCCTCAGAATGACATGGATGTGGCCATGCCCATGGCTGAAGGATGATGTTCTTTCACAAGGAGATGTTCTCCACTTTCATGCCACTGAGTGGAGTGCATCCTTCGGGATCTTCTTTGGCACTGTCTTTCGGAGGAACGATTGACCAGGGAACCTGAATCAGGGAGCCTGCGCAAGACACGAGTGCAAGACCCCATCACCAAACCTTGCAATGGAGAGCTTGTTCAACTGTTCTCTTTTGGGTGATCGTCCGGGCGCAAGACTCCCAAACATACATACTGCACTTATAGTGAGTTAGGACTCTCAACAGTAGCAGATCCACAACTCCTAACTCATCATATGATCATATGGTATTGTGTTGGGCCCCCTGGTTCCTTTAGCCTGCAAAGGGAAGGGGGATGACCATGACCATCCCCACTAGGTTCCTGAAGCCATACATTTTGTCCCTAAACAGCAATGATACAAGTCATAATCACACATTCTCTCTCTCTATATATATACATACATACCAGCACCAGCTAAAGGGTGGTGATTGGAAGGAGAATATCTAGATCAGGGGTGTCTTAAGTATGCGACCGCTCTTCGGGTGAAGGTCAGTGAGAGCTTGGTGAAGTGACTGGATTCGAACAAGCAGATGAAGGGGAGAAGGGAGAGCCAAGCTCTGTGCCTATTCATGCCTTGTCACTTTTTGGGCTGAAGAAGCCCGGAAAAGAACCTCATCAAAGAGGGCCCAATCATTTTCCACTCTTCAGGCCAGAGGTGCCAGAGTCTTCTGGTCAATGTCCGACCGCAGCGCTGCAGCGCTAATTCTTCCATGGACCAACTGACATCTGGTCCATGGGTGGTGAACCACCCACCATGTCTTCGACCAGTCCACGTAGGGACCAACACGTCTGCAGGTAGATCAACCGGTCTGGAACTTGCCAGTTTCCCACAGCCCATCGTCAGGTCAGCCGTGCGGAGGCCGCGACATTTTATTCATCACGAGGTTTGTCTGGAGAGTTTGAAGAACAGTCACCTGGTCACCGGCTCATGAAGACCTTCCAGTTATCAAAGAACCTGCCAGAACCCACTGGTTCGGCTCAAGGCTGAAGCAGAACCCGACTGGTTCAGAGGATCCCTTTTGTTGAGGGGATGGGTCCGACTCGTTCTCTTAAAACCTCTCAGTCGGAAGTTCTTCAGTTTCGTTCAGGTTGGATCCTGACCCCACGTCGTCCTGGATTGCGCCTGGGCTTACGCGAAGGAGTTAGTGATTCCGTTTGTGGACACAAGTGGCCCTAAGACGTTTCGGCTGTTGGATTGAGTATAATATAGTAAAAATAATGCAACATCCCTTTCAACATGTATTGGACACCGTTTCTATCTCTTTGGGGAAACCGTTAGGATCGGCTGTCGTCGATCCTCTCAGGATACCAAGATGTTGAGAGCCGGCTGGTCCAGTGGCGGGCATCCTGTAGCTTGGTGGGCGTGGGTTGGTCAGCGCTCAAAATGGGACATGCTGGGCCACTGCGGGCCTCTCACGTCGTGATCGCAGCCGCTTTTTTTGGTTTCAGCAGCCATGCCTCCGGATAGTTATAAAGCATGGGCTGCCCTTTCACAGGGAAGAAGATTAAAGATCCATGAAAAAACAGGCTTTGGGGGAAGGTCTGTTTTAGTTTGTTCCGTTGAAACCTGCCACCATGTCACCCAGTGTCCTGTCGCGCACGTTCCATGTCGCCCATTGTTCCGGACGTTGGGAGCCGGACGGGACGTCCGTTCCGTTTCGTCCGTCCCCGGATGCCTTCCGTGGGACCCGAAAGGATGGGAAGGAGATGAACGGACCGGAACGGACCGGGACCACTGAAACCCATTCTCAGACTTGTCTTCCCAAGATGGGAAGGACCTCAGTAAAAACAATGGTGGGGACCTGGGTTCGTCGACTATTTCAATCAATGAGGCAATCCTAGGGGGCAGTTATGTAGATCGTCCTGCACCTCTGAGATGACCGCGTAGGTAAGCCGGGCGACCGCTTCGTTCACCATGCTCACGGATGAGAAATATGGCAAAAGCAGTGGCATTTGCTGGGGTGTGGGAGGCTGGGGCCAAAGTGGCGCCCGGTGAGTTGCTTGACGACATCCAAGTCCTTACCGGGAAATTGCGACACGAAGATGCATGAGTCTGTTGTTGACCATGTGGGGTTATTTCTTGCATAGCTAATCAGCACACGAACACCACCAATCAAACACCATATCCAAAAACAAGTGTGGGCTTTCCGGTCATTGGAGGAACGATGCTGACAGTTTGCCTGCAAATCATTCCATATTGCAAATCATGTGTTAGCCCAGCAGTTCCTGTGCTTGCGTATCACCACGGAGGTTTTCTGATAGGTGCTTGGGGGATATCTTTGGATCATGGCTGGTCACGAGCACAAGGACCTTCCTGTGCACTCAGGATTACTATGTTGCTTGGAAATTACCGCGCTGAAGACTAACATGGATCCTGAAAACCACTGGTCTCTAGAGGAAAACGATTGGACTCAGGGTGCCAAAACCGGTCCATCTGAGTTTGACAGATCGATGTTCATCCTGTCTGATGTCGCACAAACGCGACGCCGTTTCAGGTCGCTCTTGGGTCTGGCCCACCGAACCTATATTGAGAATATACACACACCCTATATAGGAGCAAAGGGCATCGCTACGAACGGAGCAAAGGGCATCGCCACGAACGGGGCTCCCGGCCTTACTACTAGCAACAATAAAGCTACGAACGGAGCAAGGACGCTGCTAGGCATTTTTGTCGGATAGGACTGTAGGACCTCAAACAAGGAACAATGCATCCGCATCCAATGTCCGATGAAACTGAAGGGAAGTACCTTGATTGGTCTAAGTTGAGTAGTTTGATTCCCCCAAGGCCCCCAATACAGTTAATCAATGTGAATCCCCACATTTGATGTCGAGATCCCAACTGTTAGAGCTTATAAGCATCAATCAACAATCATCATCCCGAACGTAAGGATGATCTGGATCGCCTCCCTCCACCAAACATAGAGGTACATTCCTGCTAAATTTAGCCAACGCCTCCATGTTTTTTGTTTTAAATGCTGGTTTGTTAGAGAGATGGTCTCCCAAAGTACTGACCTAGGGGACTGGTTGGGAAGTGCTTAGGGTGCTGTCATGATCTCCCCGGTACCCCCTTCCTCTGACTTGGGCTCGCTCGATCCGTTAGGGGGCGCCTCGGCCGGCGAGTGCGAGAAGCTCTGGGAGGATCTGGTGCAGCTGACGGGGGCGGCGCCTTCGGTCGGCAGGGTGCATGGGTCTGGGGAGGTCTGGGAAGGTCGCGCCACGAAGGTCGGATTCCGGGGTGTGGTTGGCCATGTTGATCTTTAGATGTGTGTTCATTCAGGGACGTAAGGAGAATCGCTGACTGATAGAGACTTTTGGAGACGTACCTTCCGGTTGAAGAGTTCGCGAGAACGAAGTTGACGAGTCGTTTGGGACGAGTCGTACTTCCACGGTTTGGGACGAGTCCCACCGTCAAAGGAGTCGGGTGCCCAAGGGCCATGACTTCTATATACGTCAGTAGCTGATTTCTTCAAGAACGTGTTTTTCTCAGTGACACCGACCTCGGTGCCCATGGCCACCCGTGCCTTCCCGTGCAAACCCCAAATCCCGGCCACTGTGGGTCCTGGTACCGACCTTCCAATCGCACCGGGTCCTACCGTCGATCCTTCCAACCCGGACGACATGCAGCCGGACCTCTTCGGAGCAGCCTCCATCGTGGACGTGGACCGAAGAAAAGGCCTCTGTTGGACCGCTGGTGCTGTAGTTTATACAAAATCCAAAGAATGGTTGTTCTGTAAAGTTGGCTCTTAAATAAAGGGAGTGTGGTATACTCCAAGGGCGACATCCTGTGGATGCCAAGGCATCTTTTCCGTTATTCACATGAACCGATTTCCATCATTTTGCCTGTCATGCATTTGGTGTTCTTGGTCTTTCGTCCAATGCTTCCGCACCCCTCGCTGGCCCACGAGCCCTCTAAGGAGTGGCCATAAGGGGATCTGGATGTGCCGAGTGCGGAAAACGGAAGGCTTCTGGAAAAGCGCTGGCTAGCTCAAAAATGGCTGGGGGCTTCTACCTCCTTCTCGAAGGAGTTTTGGAGTGACTTTCACGGTTTCTCACGATTTTCGGAAGATGCTATGGGAGCTGTTTGGTGGGGGGGGTGCCCCCAGTGATTCACTGGCCAAAGAAAACCAGAAAAGCACAACTCCTACCAGAGGGATAGTAGCCACGCATAGGATCGGACGCCATGGATCTTCATGGACCGAAAAGAAATCACGACGGACGGGGCGTCCCAGAGCGTTTTGGTCTTTACTGAGGCCCACCCCTTCACGAAAAAGGGTGAGTGGAGGAGTGGGACACCCAGCACTTCCGTTTTGACTCATGAACTCCAAGGTATAGTGGTAGTCCTAATCTCTGCTCTCAGGCCGGGGGGTAGTTCACTTCATCATGTTCTTGCGACTTTCTGGGGCAAGTGGTGATGCAGTTGAAGGATCTGGTTCTCTACCAAGTCGCAGAGCCGAGCTGAGCTCCTTCCGGAGATCCGTCAAGAGAATTGGAGTTTGAGAGTTGGCAGTGGGTAAACCAGGCGGAGCCTGGTTGACGACCATTTTCCGAGCACCAAACAGGTTATTTTTATCACATCCATGATTAATTCAAGGAGTGTACTGAACTCCAGAGCCCACACTGACTGCAGTCTCGAGACAGAAGTACATGGAGCCCATAGGCAGCCATATTAGAATGAGCGATTCATGCACAGACTCGACATTTCTAAGACTCTTGGTCTCGGTCTGTGTCGTTCCCGCACTCCGAGAATCACCAGGGGCTGAGGGATCAAAGGGCCTCATGAATGCCTCATTCTACCCGATTCGACCTCAAATGCGTCCCTCCAAACGTGGAGCCGCTTCCGAGTCTTCTTGCCCCCCAGATTCACACTATATTTATAAACCTCTTTTTTCGGTGCCAAAGGCTCTTGGGTTTGCTCCCATGATGTCCAATCCAAGTGCCTCTTGGGTGCTGAACCCTCACCCCATCCCATCGCCCATCCGCTGGGAGCCTCCGCGGCCTGGCCCGAGCGAAGCGAGCGAAACACGGGTGGCCTGGCGCAGGCGGCGCCAGGGTTGGGGGTGGGCGGGATGAGCGATCTGCCGTAGCCGTAGCTCTCTGAAAAAAGAACACGGTGCTTCAGGTTCGCAGGTGATGTAATTGTGTTTTCCCCAAAAAGAGGATCAAGACTTGCGCAAGGGACGGAGGGACTCTTTTGTGGAACCTGCCAAGTCATCACCCCTCCAAAATCCGGAGAATCTTAGAGCCTGAGCAGCTTCAGGGGATTCATCTCGGGTTTTGGTAGCGTTCTCAGGACGACGAACGACCTGCTCCACATGCTCCGGTTTTCTCCATGTTTGGGAGGTCCACACGGCCCAAGAGGTCTCGGGGCGCCGCCCAAAGTGTTTGGGAGGTTCCTTAAGGTTTTTCTTCTCCAAAAAAGACTGACTGACCCACTGCACCAGCTGCACCAGCTGCGACCCAGCTCGCGACCCAGCTCGCGACCCAAAGATCTGCTTCGCGAAGGCCACGCGACGTCGGCCGCCATGGCCGCGCGACGTCGCCATGCCGAGGCGGGACACCCAACGGGTCGGAGCGGCTTGTGGCGGGACGAAGAGAGGGGGGGGGACCCGAGGGGATGAAGTCCCGTGCAGCTCGAGCAGTTCCTTCTTTTTGGAGTTATGTTCGGTCCTTGGTCGCGTGATGTTCGGGTCCTGACAGTGTGAAAACGTCTTTCCCACATGGCAGACCTAGTTGAGTATGTTGAGTCCACCAGGGAATCGGGAGTCAGTGTGAACGCTTCACACTGAAGGTATCAGTCTTTTTTTCCCCGTGCCCAGGGCACCGGTTGACGTGGACTGAAGAACCACTGGGAGTGGAGAGGTGCGGAAGAAGTTGCGTGGCTGCTGGGTCCTGCTGGGTTCGCCAGATCTTCAGGAAACCCGGGTTTTTTGATCTTTTTTTGGTTCTCACACAAAGGGTGCATGAAGGGCATGCTGTTCATTTCATGTCCATCCACACGGGTTCGGGGTTGGTTGGGATCACCAAAGGGGATCCTATCACATCGTCCCAACGATGGTTTGGGTGATGTCTGATACCTGCGGAAGAGCTCTGCCATATCTGGGTGTGCCTCGGCTTCCTTCATCTTCCTTCCGTCCTCCGCCTCGTTGCTGCAGGAGCCCTGCAGCCAGCTCTGTGGAGTGGATTTGCTGAAGAACCTCCGGCAGAGGTCTTTGCAGGTGAACCTCGTTGAGGCCAACCAGGAGCCTCGGCAGAAGGAGGAAGACGGAAAAGCCACCACCAGAATCAGTTACTTTTCTGGAACCACTCATGTTCACACCCCAGGCCCCAGGTGATCACACCGTTATTTTTCGATCACCACCAGGTGATTGGACGTGGAGTTCACCATCCCTGCAGTGGTATTTGGATCGTCTTCCCAGGGGCCCTTGGGGCCGTCCCGTGGCCACTGCCCGATGAAGTCAGCACTCTTGTACCACAGAATGGTCACATGGCTCAAGAAAAAGGGTATATATATATATAGTGACAGATTTATAGTACACTCTGTTGGTCAAGGAAGACTTGACCGGTTTCGTCACTTTGAAGGTCTCGAATTTCTACTGCTTTGTGATCAGTCCGATGAGCTCCCTCTCCCACATCTCACATCTCTGTCGATCAGTCCGATGACGGGGCGCTCGTCCTTGTGAAGCGACATCAGTCCCGGTCTTCCGATCCCATCCGAAGGAAATAAAAACCACGTTTTCTTCCCTCAGAATCGACGTAGGACAGGAGCGCTGAAATCCGAAGAAGGACAGGAGCGTCTTGCTGGAGGGCAAGTAGATCTGCAGTTGAAAAGCAAGGCATTCTTCTTTCAATAGGCGCCCCCCCTCGACTGTGAGACACACACGCAGATTCAAAGAACTTCGCTCCGATGCTAACGTTTGGACGTCCAAAGCCAGACCGCCAGTCCTCTTGCACTCCATCGACCCCAGTCAGTCGATCCTCATGTTGCATCACTTCTTTTTTTTAGTCGTTTCTTTCATCCCAATTCTTTCACAAAAAAGGCCCACCCCTTTCGGAATTCCTTCAGAACCCGACCGCGGCACCCCCGCGCCCAGTCCCTCCTCGGCCGGTCCCTCCCCAGGTGTCGCAAGCGTTGGCGTGCGTGCGTCGCGTCGTCCAGGTGCTGGGGCAGCTGGACTGGCGCGAAGCCCTGGAGGCCCTGCAGTCCATGCGGCGCTTGGCCTGGAGGCCGACGGTCAGGAGAGCCTTCGGTGGAGAACGAGCGCGGCTCTCGCGGGGGGCAAGACGAGGTAGGCAGATGAGAGATCTCCTCATCGTCGTTGTCGTCGTCATCATCCCGACATTTTTCCCTTTGCCAGATGATTGGTTGCATCTCCCATGATGCATGCGTGATGGCTACCATTCGTTCACCCCTCCTCAAGTGGGAGATGGAGGGCGTTTTTTTTCCCCCAATTTTGAGATTTTCCATCGCGAAGATGCAAGCCGCCTAAGATCGAGTGGATCAACTGGTCCACAGCTGACACGTTGGCAGGGGTTCCCCCCTCATCTCTTGTAATAGGTTTCCACATCATGTTTCCACCCCAAATCCTCCAGGGTCAAGTTCAAGAGTCAGCAGATCTGTAACTACTGTTGGCATCTTTTAGTGCCAGCAGATCTGAACCTTCCTGGACATCCCCTACCTACAAGAAAGATCTGTTCCAGTTCCCCCCCCAAAGAAGCACCTCAAGAGCACAGGTGACGTGCTGCGCAGAGGTCTTTTCCGGTTGTTCCCCCACCCCCCACCGTGCACAGCTTTGCTTGCTCTACCCATTGAGGCTTTGGGGCGGCCGTCGCTCGTGTGGGCGCCGCGCTTGGCGCGGGCGCGAGCACGGGCGCCTGGCGCCGGGGCCTCACTCTGCTGGGCCACCTGGCCGGATAAAACAGCGACCGCGACCGAAGGCGGAGAAAAGGGAGGCTAAAAGAGTCGGGAGAACATACAACAACCATACAACACCCCTTGAAGAGACTGAGGTGACTTGTTTGTGTGGCTCTTGAGCAAAGACGCGTGATGTGGATTGGAAGAACAGGAGCAATCTCTTTGCAGGCCACACTTCCTTCGTTCGACAGGGATCTAGCACAAAGAAGCAGCTTCCCAACCTCTTCAGACGCCAGAGTCTCAGAGTTTGATGTTGATTTGGTACTCTGACCTAACACAAGACGTCCAACCGTTCCTTTGGTTGACATGGCATCGCTGGTCGTTTTCCATCGGTTTCCGGCATGTTGCACACATATATACCATGTTTTCCCATGCTCCATGTTTTCCACTGCTCCACCTACATCAATCAAGGGGCTTCAGGGCGGGCTCCGAGAGCAGGTCGGTCCCCCGGCCGGCACGGGCGAGGTGAGATGCAGGTCCTTCAGGTCGAGAGCAATACCATTTGCGCCTCGGCGGCGTCCGCACGTCCGTCTCGGCGCGGGTGTTTGGGTAGGTTGGTGGAGAGAGGGTCAGGAGAACGGGCAAGGAAGTCAGACAGGGGCGCAAGGGGTTCCCATCGGAAGGGCTGACTTAGGGTTCAACTTAGGGTTCAACATCGGACCTGACCTGACTTAGGGTTCAACCTGGTTTTTGGATGTTTTTGGTCAGGTCCGATGGATTGGTTGATCTGACCTTCGTTCACTCACCCACCCTTTTGACCGTTGGTTTGGAAGTCGTTTTGAGCGAACGGAAGCTTTCAAGAGTTTAGGAGTCCATCCAAGCTATGTGGGTTTGCTGGGCATGACTGGTTCCTGTAGATTAAGCATGATAAATCATGAAATCATCGATCTCTTGATCTGTGTATCAAAAATCAGCGTCGCAAAAACCGCCCAACATTTGCACAGAAGTTGGGAACAAACAGATTGGACCCAGTCGCAACAGTTTTTTTGGACCAGTCGCTGACCGGTCGCTGACCTTGGCTTCATCTGACCGGTCGCTGCATCTGACCAGTCGAACCCAGGCACGAACGCCTCGATGAAGGCACTGGGGCGCGCACGGTGGGCACAAGCTGCCGAGACGTGGCCCGTTGGAGTTGGAGTTCGTTTTCGGCGACAAAAGACGTCGGTTTTGGGTGGCTTTTCCCAAATCCGGAGGGGGGGGTGAATGGAGTGAAGGTCGATGTTGGAGACCTGACATGCCAACCGATAACTTCGGCCATGCAGACTGATAACTGCAATCTGACTGAACCTTCTTCTAGGCATATATGTGTGGCAAAAA